ATTTACGGTAAGAGCACCAATACTCACCTACCCCATAAGAAACGGGGTTACAAAACGACGAGGCCCATAGGCAGTTTTTCCCTGCCCGGAGCCAGCTCAGCCATTCACAGAAACGACACAAACCTGCGCGCCAAGACTAATATACCATGGGGACATTACACATCCTTCGAAGAAATCGTACCGATGACCCCACTATGGATCTAAGACTTAGGAGGCAACGAGGCTCTGGAATTTCCCTCAGGCCTAATTCCCGCCCCCTCCGCGCCGCAGCCTTTGTGCAGCCGCAGTGAAAGAGCGCCATGTTTCGCTTGCAACCGGGGTGGGCAAGCCCTGTCTCCCCTCCCGCTCCTCAGCGAGGCAGGAGAGTTCCGTGTTCTTACCGAGGAGCCTGTACGGGAGGAAAAAGGGTTAGAGTGAAACCAACTCGCCGCCGAGCCCGGCGCCAGCGACCGAGCAGCGCCACAAAATGGCTGCCCGACCGCACCGCCTTCCTGCCCGTCCCGTTGGGAGGCAGAGAGGGAAGGAGGGTCTACAATGGGCGGCACCCCAAGGTGATGCGATGAGGCTTTTCGGGAGAATTAAAGGCACCGAGGCGTCGCGCTAAAAGCGCCTCCTCAAAAAAACTTGTTTTCTGCTGAAGCGGCGCGAAGGTGCTAAGTGCTCTAACAATTAATATTTCCTTTGCGCCGAACGCTTCGGTTAGTAACCTTCCTTCACGAATGTCACGAAGCACTATTTTGAAAAGTACCTGCGAAAAGTTCTGCGAATATTAGGACCAAGCGGACATAAAATACAATATTTAACAGGTACCAATAGGTCTCCTCCAACGATCTCAAACCCCCCCCCTCGTTTCACAGACACGTTCAGCTTTTACGCTAAAGCATGGCTCGTTTCATCACGGCTGATTGAACGAGCCACAATTGCCTCCACGTTGTTCACGAGTAAAAGTAGTAAACCATGTTTTTCAAACTATAGCGGAGGAATTCACACAGCGCTACTCCAAAAGCAAACTAATTGCATCAGGTGAAAATAAAATCCCCCCCCCTCCGTCCAGCTTGACTCTTGCCAAGGGCACGAACACCTACATGTTGTTTTCTTCGTAAGAAAAGAAAAACGCTTTGCAGGTGCCTTCTTGAGGATGATTTCGTGACTGGATGCCCAGTTCATTTTCAGCTCTGAAATTTAGGTCCAATCTGTCAACCCAGTAACCTTTTTTAGTTTTTTGGATTGGCTTGGGTGCTGCCTCCTGCTGCCTTCAAATTGCCTTGTGGTTTTGTGCATTTCATGGATCCAGTGGTATACCCCTATGGGCTTGTTCGTTCAGATACAAACTCCCTTAGATGATACTGTAATATAGAATTACACTGTATCATACATAAATGTTATTTTCTAGATAGATATTAGACTCTGAACAGTTAGCTCATTTTTGCATTCCATGTCTATATTAATTTTATTTTTTAATAACCCCAGGCAGCTTGCATTAATTAGGACACGCCTTATTTTCTTAAATCTTTTTTTCTTTAATTCCTAAAATCCTTAGGGGTTTTACTTTTGGATTTTTTTTTTTTTGTCTGATACATATATAGTTGAATTAGAGTTGTTAATATTGCTTTTTTGGTGCAATTCCACCAGTAGTAAGGGCTGAATCTTTGGGCTTTATTGCAAGTGCTGTATAGATGCTGAGTCCACAAATTCTAAGGATTAAAATATAAAAGAGTTAAAGCTTGCAAAACTAATGGCATTTGACAAGCACAAAGACAGTACACATTTTTAAATAGACATTTCCAGATTTCAGAAACCATGTGGCCATTTTAATCCACATGGCCTTTTATTTTAAAATCTTAAAGTTGTTGGAAAGATGGTAAGACTACAATTACAGAAAGCTTGGAATGAAACAGATTATCTGGATTTTTTGAGTATAAGACAGAACTACATCAGTTGCTGTGGCTCAGTGGTTAAAGATGCTGAGCTTGTCAGCTGGAAAGCTGACAGCGCTTTGTGATCTGAGTGCTGCACAAGGCAGTGAACTCTTGTTACTTGTCCCAGTACCTGCCCACCTAGCAGTTCAAAAGTATACAAATGCGAGTAGATAAATAGGTACCACTTCAGTAGGAAGGTAACAGTGTTCTGTGCGCCTTGGTGTATAGTCATGCTGGCCACATGACCACAGAAATATCTTTGGGCAATGCTGGCTTCCCCGGTTAAGAAACGGACATCAGCTTACAATCGGACATGACTGGACAGGGAACCTTTTATCTTTTACATTAGTTGCTATTGTGGATGACCTGTAATAGGTTTGGAATAATCCTGATCTTGCTTGATCTGTCAACTGGTCAACTGTCTTCAATCTCATCAAACGTGTTAATTGAGCTGGGGATAGGATGAGCTGTGCTCCACTGGTACTCATTTCTGAAGAGCTAATTTCAGTGTTAATGATCAAATCCTTAGGCCCTCCCCCTCCATTATTTAACATCTACATGAGGCTATTGAGAGAGATCATCCAATAGTATGGGATAAGGTATTATCAGTATGCTTTTGGTACACAGCTGTACCCTGCTAGCATTTCAGCCCTTTGAGGTAGACCAGACTAGAAAATCAAAGTTATGAATATTACTACTATTTATTATGGAGTTATAGTAACACATCTTGCAAGTTTGAAAGTGCCTCTCCCCTCCCTGCCTTTATAACAGAACTAGGGAGTTATGTCTGAGACATTTCCTCAAGTTACATTTCTGTTTGGCCTCAGATTTCTTTTATTTTATTGTCTTGGTTGCAGTTCTTTCTGTTCCTCAAGATTATTCTCACATTACATCTGGCCAAGCAGGAGATGTGACTGAAGATATAACTCAGTGCCTCTAGGCAGTTATATTACTGGGACTATAATCTTGTGTATGCATGTTATGCAACAAAAGATACAAGATATTATAGACTACTAAAAAAAACTAGGTCTTTATGTAATGTGCCCAAAATACAATTTGAGGCTTGAGTGAGAATTCTGAGTTTTGTTTTTGTAATTCATTTGTTTATTTTCTTCACAAGTCTCCAATACTGAAATTCAAAAACATCAATACTTTCTGTCCTGCTTCTTCAAAGCCAAAATATCTCTTCCATAGAGCATCACAGAAAGTACTGCCTGCACAGTACTAATCTTTGTAGATACAGATGTCATAACATCTGAGCATTTTTTCTCATAGCTATCCTATGTATTAATATATTTGTTGCATGCTGCTTCCAAGGAATAAATTGTCAGCACTTCAGTATATTTGTTTTCATTTAATGTCAGTTCCATGTTTTGCCAAATTTCATCCAGGCTGAGGCTTTCTATTCTAGATATAAATTTCACAATAGGACAATGATATATTTTGGAATTCTCATTTTCCTAAGATTGATCTATAGCTTGAAATGGTCAATACAATCAAAGGCCTTCTGTAACCAATAAAACACATTGTCTTTTTCCTCTAGCCTTTGGTTTTCTCAATTGTCTAGCATGCATCCACAATAATGTATCTTTTTCCTCAGCATTTGCGAAACCCATCTTGTACATTTGGCATCTTCTATAGTATAGTATAGGCAAAAAGGTTAGCCATCATTGTCCTATACCATGTAGTTCTCTATTCTACATTGGATGATTCCATCCATTGTTTTCCTGAGATGTGAAATTAAGGATATTTTATGAGAGTTTGAATACTTCATTAAATATTTCTTTGGTATTGGTATGTAATTGACTTCTTCAGTCTATGGGTCACTGTGTCACTCTCCAGATTTGCCCTAAAATTTGGTTGGAATCTTTTTCTGAGTTTTCTCCTCTTTCTTACCATATTTCTATAGAGTCTATCAAATTCTGTAGTCTTTTAAATTTATGAATAGTATATTAATCTAATTTCATATTCTAACACTAGAGGTTCTTGTATATAGGCAATATCTTCTAAGATATTTTAGATGCTGATTTTTCTACTGTACAAAATTACATTATTATTTCCATCTTTCTTTAACCTATAAATCAGTTATCTGTTCATTGCTGTCCTTTATCATACCAATTTGAGGTTGGAACCTCTTTCTGAGAAGTTAACAATGAAGGAATAATACAATTAGCAGAAACTGATCAATTATCTTTCTGCATCATTTTTGTTTGTTAGCCCATACAACTGCTTTTCCTCCGTACTATTTCATCTTTAACATTCTGATTTCCAACCTTAAGCAATACATCTCACTTGCTTATTTGTTCAATCTATTTCAGATAGATCATGACTATAAAACTAATCAACTTTTTCTTCTGCATGAATGGTTAAACATAAATGTGGATGAAGGTCATATTGAGGGGGTTCCCACAACATCCAATTGATTTTTAAGGTACATAGCCTACTCATGTTCTATGAAATGAACAGTTACATAAATGTGAGGAATTAATATTATTCAATCATTAACTGCATTGTAACCAAGCATCCTTTGCTGTATATTTCCTATGAAAACAATGTTCCTTTGCTTTTCAGACCTGGAATAGAATGATCTTCTGACTGAACGAGTCCAGAACATTTCAATTCTGATGGCTAAGATGTCAGTTTGTAGTTAATTTCATGTTTTGCTGTGTTGAGCTTTCTCATGTTCATGCTTATATTCCATGTTGTCCCTATAATTCTCTCTTTACAGCTTCAGATTTTTCTTTTCTGCATGGCAACATCAGCAATCAGACATCCCAATGATCTTAATCTAGTCATGTCATAAACACTATTAGAACTCTGAAAGATCTCATCTCATTTTAAAATGATAGAGGTATCTAATCCAAACTATGATTCACCAGAGCATCTGACAGATGATCATCCAGCCTGTTTGAAGACCTCTAGCAAAGGAGACCACATTTTTGTGCCACCCTGTTCCATTGGTGACAACTTGTATGGTCAGAAAGTTCAGTCACAGCTGAAATACTATTTTTTTTAAAAAAAAACTTTCCTTTAGATTTTATTATTTCATATAAGAAGTAATATAAAGTAATACCAGAAAGAGAGGATTAATATAAGTTTTATTCCATCTCCCATCTGCCTGCACAAACAGAATAAAACTTCCAAAAGTGGGTGAGGGATGCTAAACCTGATTAGGCCTCCATAGGATTCCCCCCTTCCCATCTGTTACAACATGGATGTAATAATTGGAATGATATCACAAAAATACCTTGGAATGCAATCAGGATGACTGCTTTCCACATAGCAAGAGTATTTCAGGTTCCAGTGATAGTCTGCAGCAGCATTATTGGAGGAAGAATAACAGAAGATTCAATCTAAAGCAAATAGAATCTCAGAATGTGAGTGGTGTTAGCCTCATCACTTTGTCAAGCAAAAAGTGCCGTGTTTCCCCGAAAATAAGACCTCCCCAAAAATAAACCCCCCTCCGAAAATAAGACCTCCCTGAAAATATTTAAATCCATGCGCAGCTGGTCTGGTTAGGGTTAGGGAGACAGAGCTGGAAATCAGGTAAGAGGGCAAGAGGAGCCCCATCTTGTTCCAAGTGCTCCAAAATAATAAGACCTCCCTGAAAATAAGGCCAAGTGCTTATTTCAGGGTTCAAAAAAATATAATATAATATAATCTTATTTTCGGGGAAACACGGTAACAAATATTTTTGAATGAATATGAGCAAACAAAAAGAGCAGGCAATTTCCAAACAAATTTGTTTTTAACCCAGCATTCTCTTATATCACCTTTAAAAATCAACATGTTGACTGCATGAAATTCTTCTCTGTCTCATCCTCCTTTACTCCCTTTCTATCCTCTCCTTTTCTGGCTGGCTTAACCATTATTAATTGATGTTGTACTACTGTCTCTCCATCTTCTTCTGGTCTGCTTCATGTTCTTTGATTTTCTCCTCTTTTTGTAAATGCTCTGTACAGTATGGAATCTCACAACATCCTCTCCAGGCAAGCAAACCACTTTGCTGTTTTTGTGTGTAACAAGATTGGTTCTATGCCAATTCTTTCTCTTATAGTCTCATTATGATTTTATCTCTTCTGGTCACTCCAGCAACTTTCCTCAAACATTTCATTTCCATGGTGACTTTCATTTTACTATAGAAGGGTATGCTTTTTTCTTTCAATTGCTATTACTACTGTTTTTGCTAATTCTCATATTATTTGTCTGGCATTCTTGGTTCATCGACATAAAATGTTGCAGTTTCCTAGCTGTACTTGCTATCAATGCCTGTTTGTCTGCAAAGAGTAGACAAACTACTACTACAGAGTTCATTGATATTATTTCCATTCTTGGGTTTGTCTTCTTTGCTTATGCTGTCAATATAGGTGATAAACAATAGTGGTGACAGTACAAATGCCTGTTTTATTCTGGACATTACTGTGAAGGTTCTGATATTTCTAGGTTTGTTCTGACTACACTTCTGCAATCACTATATAAGCTTTTGCATACTCTAATAACATGTTAACTTACTCCATATTAGGTCAGTGTTTACCATAACATTTTCCTATGAACTGTATCAAATGATTTCTCTTGGTCTACAAATGCGACAAAAAGATTCTTATTGTATTCCATATTATTTTCTATTACTTGTTTAAGCACAAAAATTGCATCGGTGCAGCTTTTACATGAAATACATGAATGCATGAAATACATAACATTAATTCTTTCACTTTCATTTGAACTTTATATAGGGAAATCTACCTATAGATTTAGTTAGCTTAGCATGCTCATTGCTACATAACAAGCACCAGTGCGTAAGCATAAATGTAGGATTTAGTAAACTCCTTTCTATAAGAAACATTATTTCTGAATGCATAATATATTTCTGCAAGGTAACATGATAAAATACATTCAGAATGGCCTCATGATGCTTACAGAAGACCAACAAAACCAACCATTTTCCCACAATGATACAGTTCTGAAGTCTCATTATACCAAGCTGTGATAAGGTCATCTAAAAATAAAAGTACTGCAACTTTTATTTGGTGTCAGCATACTTTATGTCCATGTATATTTCTTTATGTGAAAGTTAATGCACAAAACAAAACTCTTGTCTTAGAATTAGTTTTCAGGCTCTGTATTTAAAAAATGCATTTCACTGGTCACACAGGAATTGCACACTTAAAACTATATACTTTTCCTCAGGAATGTACAGAAACATTTAATCCACAACCATGCAGTCTGATATATAAGTATTTTAATGCTGTGTCCATTTAATGCTCTTCAAATCAATTCCGTCCTGTACCATCTCCCACAGCGGGCTGTAAAATAAGAAGAAAAATTAAATTTCAGTTCCTCAGAACTATAAATTATATTTTGTCATAAGACAAATATTTTTTCCCCAAACAGCTGCTTACAGATATAGCAAGGGTACCTGTGATGGATCCAAAACAGTTACCCACTTTAGATCTGAATACCACATAACTACTATCATGGTAGTATAATTCAAATGACAAAGCATACATACCAACATTAGGTAACAGCTATTTAAATTAGCTACATAGATCTGATAATTTCACAGCAGACACAGCTGAAGAACATAACAAATAATCTAATTCTCTTCACAATCTTTATCTAAATTTATTTTTAAATGAATAAAAATACTGTTTTTAATAAAAAATATTTACCTCATTTCTCTTAATCTTTTCACATGTTGTATGCATTTATTTACAGTATAATCTACTTCTTCTTCAGTAGTAAAACGTCCAATTCCAAATCTGAAATAAAAACACAAATCAAGCACAAAACATACACAAAGATGACAAGCAATTATCCTTTATCAAAATAACCCTTACCTTATGGATGAATGAGCCAAATCCTCATCTGTTCCAATAGCACGTAATACATATGATGGTTCCAAAGATGCAGATGTACAAGCACTAACAACAAAATAATATACTTGTTTTAATGCAAAGTAAGAGTAGGCATGAAAACAGCAGATTACACTTTGGTATACTCTGAATATACCTCCTTTATAACTTTAATCAAAGTACTTTGGGTAACCTACTGTATTTTTCGGAGTATATGACGCACCCTTTCCCCCCAAAAAACAGGATGAAAATCTGGGTGCATCTTATACTCCAAATGTAGCCTAGCGTCACAAACGGAGATTTCAGAGGCTGAAAGAAGCCTCTGAAAGAAGCTTCAGAAAAAAAGCCTCAGAAACGAAGCTTTAAAAAAAAAGCCTCTGAAAGGCTTTTATCTAAAATAATATGGCAAGCAACAAAAAAAGAATCAGTAAAGGTTCTAACCAAACTATGTTAACAAATCTGGAGAATGACAACAGATAGGAAGACGTTAATCTACATACCAATACCAAAGAAAGGAGTACAGAGTACGGATAGTCCTTCAGAATAAAAGCCTCTGAAAGAAGCTTCAGAAAAAAACCCTTTTTTTTCTGAAGCTCTGTTTCAGAGGCTTTCAGAGACAGAAAAAAATGCAAGGCACAGAGCTCACAACAACAAACCTGTTGCTAAAATTCACCTCTGGAAACAGCTGATTGGGGGGTATTCCAGGAGGCCAATCTACCCACCAATCAGCTTTTTTTTTATTTTCCTCCCCAAAAACTAAGGTGTGTCTTATACTCCGAAAAATACGGTAGTTTTAATGAAATGAGGTTTCTCTGAAAAGAGGATTTATTTTGCAAAATCAATGAATGGAGAAGAAAAAAAAAAGGAAAAAAAAGCCAAATATAAGAATAAAGTCAACAGGATTACATGTGAACTGGATCATTGGAAATATCTTTTGAATTCATTGGCATTAAAATAACTGAGAAGAAAAAAGATTAAGCAAAAAGAATTAACTGATGGATTCCATTCTCAACAGTAAAACCTTATTGCTAGCTTCTCCAGTTTAGCGCATATCTACAGATTTTAAAAAGGAACCTGAAATCTTAACAGCTTTTTTTTTAAGTGAAATGAGTGGAATCCAGTCAATACCATTCATAATTAAGAAGGTGCAGCCTAGATTTTTAATACTATATGCCTCTTTTATTTTGATTTTCTTTCAAAATTCCGGTTTCTTTGGGAATTCCAAGCAGTCTTTTCTCTAGAAACAGATTGTGCTGAACCATGTGCCCTTTTACATACAAAGTTATACCTTCCAGAAGAGAGTGCCACATCTTTCAGGGCCATCAGCAAGCTTTCCCCTTCCACATACGCAAATGATAAATTGATGCAGCCTGCATTGTTAACAGAGCAAAGTCAGATTATTTAATAGTCTTAAACAACTTCCAGTTTCTAGAACTATTTTTCTTTACAGGAATCTTATTTTATCTGTCTTCCAAAGTGCCATTCAGCAGTTATGAAAATTAATGCAGTTATATATTAAAGCAGTCTGTTATACTGCAACTGTCCTTATAAGACTCTTAGAGCCACTCCATTATGAAGATGGCAATGAAGGTGGCACAGAAAAAAGAAACAAGATTTTCCTTGACTATAAGAGGATTCTTCTCTGCTCCTTGTTTCCACACATTGGAGTAATTCTAGCACCCTTTTAAAAGTAATTTTTGGATATAAAACATAATTAAAATAATGTACCATCCATAAATCATTGGACATTACAGACCTACAGCCAGTTAGTATTAAAGGAGATATCACTACAGAATTATTTCAATATCAAATATCCTACAAATTACCAGTTGGAGTTATTTAATTCTAATTTCAAATACTTAATACCTTAAATAGACAACCATGATCTGATAATGAACTAATCTGTTTTAACTCTGATGTTACAATTTTATCTCTTAATTTTCCCCCCATACACAAACAGTGTCTTCACTGAAATGAAGCTATAAGGAATGAGAAGTGTATTACTTCACGGTAGTCTTTTGGGGTTAAGGATTGCATGGAACTACTATGCAGTTATGTCCAGTTCTAAAACAGTTATTTTGCTCTAGACATATATTGTAAGTCAGATTTTAGAGGAATGATACAAAAAAGCTTTTAAATATGTGTGTAGTCAATAACTGAATAATGACAAAGGTCTACATTCTGCTAATTATACCTGGATAACGATCCATTGGGTCTCCATTCATTACAACATCAGGAACTTCTGATATTATTTTTGTAATTAGCCTATCAGCTAATAAGCTAATTCGTTTATGGTCATACTAGAAAAGAAACAAAAATTAATTTATCACAATGGATTTGAGCTTTGACCAGTTTAGTCTAATTACTTCATTAATCATTTATAGTTTTATTATTAAACAGGACACATTATTAAACAGAACACGCTGACATCATCAAAACTTAGAAATAATAACATATTTTTTCATCAAAATTCATACACAATCAAACATCTTATTAATGTAATATTACTTTATTATACTCCTTGCTAAATGACAATAATTGGGACTGGAATTTCCATCGCTAAGGAATTCAGTTATAAAGCACAATGTCATGTCATGGCATCACATAGTGACAGCAATTCTCGGTGATCTCAGTTGCTATTGTTAAACAAGGATTATGGGTCATTATTTATTTCTTTATTAAATGTATATACTGCCCAGAGTTGCTTGATAATGAGATGGGCAGCATATAAACTTAATCAATCAATCAATTAAGTATTTCAGGTGACCAGAGATTGTGACTTCCTGCTGGCTTCCAGCAAGCAAAGCCGACAAGAAGTTGCAGGTCCCAGTCACAACAAGCCATTCCTTAGGTGGTTCACAAGCAGGCCAGTGGGTGGGTGAGTTCAACAGAGTGTAGATGGGCAGCTGGGTGCTGTAGCCTGGCCCAATTGTGGCTGGGCAGGGATCTGCATGCTGCAGAGTGTGAAAAAGTACACAGGTGGGTGCTATGGCCCATCATGAACCCCACTGGGTGAGGGATAAGCAATGGAATGAAAGCAAGGGCAGGCACATGCTACCGAGTACAAGATCCTTAGGATCTCATATTCCACCATGGGGATCATTGAGAAAATGTGATGGGAGGGGGAGCAAATTGCAACATTATCTGCCAGTTTCCCCATTGACTTTATGGGATGCTGCAATTGTTGTAAGGGCTAGTCAATTACCAAACATTCGAATCGCGATCACATGACCACAGGATTGCTGCGCCAGCCACAACTTCAAGGACCGGTTTGTAAGTACCACTCGTTCAGCCACATCATAACTCTCAATGGTTGCTGAACGAGTGGTGGTTAACTGAGAACTACCTCTAAGCCTTTTGCTTCTGCGTAAAAAAAGACAACCGAAAGGGTAATGTAAATATAAATGTTGATTTATTATGTAAGGAAAACAGAGACCCCTATAAAAAGAAAAAAGAAAAAAGAAGAAAAAAAAATCCAATAGAATTTGCCTCAATACTGGTGATCACAAAAATTGTCAAACCTCTTTTCTTATCAGTACCAAGACTGAGACTTGTAAGAAAAGGCCTGTGAACTAAAATGGGATGGCTCATAAGACACATAATAGATACATTCAACAAATTAAGACAGTTCAACAAATAATTGCATTTTAGTTGCTACTAAAACAAATTGCACTGTGCAATTCCAAAACATTGTTTTGAAAAAATGTTAAGAATGAAATATAGATCAAAATAATTCAATATGTGAAAAGACATATTAAATCCAATTCCAGAACACTACATAATAATATTATAGACATTCAATTTAAATAATTATGCTAAGAATATCTCAAAAGCAGAAACCGTCATAAATATGTTGAGGATACACTATACACGTACCGTATGTCTTCAACATACGACCAGAGTGGAGCCTGCCCATTATGTCATGATGGTCATAAAATGGATCAGTAACATGACTGGCCTGATTTTACAATTTTTTTGCAGCAGTCATTGAGTCTGGCAATTGTTAACAGTAAACCCATTGCTCGCTATGGACAGAGTTTTGCCAAAAGCCAGAAGTAAGTGCCACGGGACGCTGCAAATAACTGTAAATGCAGCCATGTTGCTAAGTGCCCAAAGTGTAGTCATGTGACCATGGGCGGGGAGGGAGAACCGTTGGAATGTCAGATATGGGTCATAAATCCTTTTTTTCAGGTAGATTGTAACTTCAAATGGTAACTAAATGACTAGTTATAAGTCAAGGACTACCTATACAGAGAAATTGAATCACTATTTTTACCTCCATTTCTTCTTGTGCCAATTCACAAGCTGCCCCAAGGCCAACTACTAATGGAGTTGGCACGGTTCCAGAACGTAATCCTCGCTCTTGACCTCCTCCACTCTGTATAGGTTCCACTCTTACTCTTGGTCGCCGCCGGACATAAATTGCACCAACCCCTTAAATACACAAATAATTTTGTTCAATTCAAGATATTTCAGGGGCTTACAAACAGACAGGCTAATGCAATTTTTCTGAATTCAAGCTGTTAACAGATTTAGAAAGCTTCATTCTCCTAATGCAGTCCTCGACTTACGACCACAATTGAGCCTAAAATTTCTGTTGCTAAGTGAAATATTTGTTAATATTTTGCCCCATTTTTACGACCTTTCCTGCCACAGTTGTTAAGTGAATCACTACAGTTATTAAGTTAGTAACACAGTTGTTAAATGAATTTGGCTTTACTAATGACTTTGCTTGTTAGAAGGCTGCAAAAGGTGATTGCATGACCCTGGGACACTGCATGTCATATATGAGTTAGTTGCCAAGCATTTGAATTGTGATGCTGCACGGTTGTGAGAAAAACAGTCATAAGTCACTTTTTTCAATTTGTTATTGTAACTTCGAACAGTCACTAAATGACCTGTTGTAAATTGAGGATTACCTATATAACAGAAACATAATGCAGAAAATCAAGCTATCCTTGTTGCAGAAATACTGTATTGCTTAGAAGAAATTCATTTACATTGAAATGCAAATTGGACTTCTAACAAGCTGACTTTACTGTATAACCACTTCACACTGAATTTCATGGCTACTAGTCAGTGGGGGAAATTAACACCCAAAATTACAGAGGAGACAAAGAATCTTTAGCAGTTTAAGTTTAATTACCTTGGGGACAGGTTATGTTTATAAAGTGTCAATATGTTTAAATTATTTAACCATTCTTCTTTGTCTGTTTGCTTTAAGAGAGCATTAGCTTTCAGTCATTGCTAAATACCAGTAATAAGGCATTGATGCAGCCAAGAGCTGAATAAATACTTCCTAGATTATACAAAATAATTGGATCAGTGCTACCTTAAAATAAATAATGCTTCCACATAATTTTAAAATATTTACATACTTTTCCTGCATAAAAAACTTAAGAATTACAACAAAGAAAATCCTACAATTCAATTAATGCTTCAATAAGTGACTGCCTTTTCAAAAGAAGTCTTTAAATATTTCTAAAAAGTAAATAAAGAATAATAAACTCTTTCTTCTGTATTAATCACTCCATAATCTTAGGGAAGCTACAATAAAGTACAGTTCAGCAATTAAAACATTCATGCAATGATGACTATTTCTTTCTTAAATACAGTGACTCACAAAATATTAATACCTTTGGGACCATAAATTTTATGGCCACTTATGCTCATTAAATCAATTTTCATATCATTGACATCCAGAGGGATTTTTCCAACTGCCTGTGCAGCATCTGTATGAAAAAAAACTTTATTGGAACTGCAAATGTCACCTGTAATTTAAAAAAAAAAAAACACAGTATAATTATTTCTGTCATCTTAAAATGAGTATTTTAAGTATAGAAAGTAATATTTATCTTCAAAGGATAATTTTGAGGATTAATCAAAGCAATTGCTTTCTCCTCATATATATCTCGATTCAGATTTATAGGAACTATCTTTCTGTAATATAGGGAGGAAGGCAGCTCACTAATTCACTTCCTTCTATGCTGTGTTTAGCATCTGCCCTGGAAGCTAATGAGCAGCTCTAAAAGAAAGGCTACTAGAAAAAAAAAGAAAAAAATATCCCGTGGTTGTTTCTAAATTAACTTCTCCTACCTATAGTTCATTAACCTCAAACTCTTTCTTGTATTATATAGAGAGGTCAGTCACTAGACAGTATGACTACAGACGAATTTTACTTACTGGGAGAATTCATGACAGAAGCTGGAGGCAATAAACTGAGACACGGTTTAATGCTCAGAGTTCTGGCCATTCCAGCACTCTGATCGTAATCTGGACCTTGGCAACCAGCTTGCACTTACGACCAGTTGCAGTGTCCTGCTATCATGTGATGGCCATTTGTAACCTTTCCCTGTCTATGGGGAAAGCCATTCCCAGAAAGTAAATGAGGAATCCAGGTAGATCGCAAGTTGTTGGGGTAGATGCCCCCCCCACCATGGCACTCACTCAAATCCTCTGCGCTTGCACTGTGCAAGCCACTTGTATACTATGCACCCTTCATGAGCCTCTCTGTGCCTTCCTCATATCTCATGCATCCCCATGCACCCTCTCCAACCCTCACTGCATCTCCCTTGCATACTTATGTATTTTCCCCAAGCCTCCCTTGCACCTTTCCACCCCCCATTTCCTTCCCCACCTAGCAGCAGCCACTTATCTGCCAGCTGGCCAGCTACCTAAATTTGCTATTTCCTACTGGCTTCCTCACTGATTTGGTTGTGAGAAGCCGACCAGAAACTGCCTCGGCTAATGGCCATAGAATTCAGTAAACAATGATAACTGGGGCTTCAAGGATTGTTATTGCTAAATGATGTGGTCATGCTTCATGACTGCATTACTTAAGAACAAAAATTCCAATCCCTATTGCTGTTATAAATCAATGACTACCTTTACCTTTACTGTGTCTGTAACTACTGTAATAAAATTGTGATTAGGTTTAACCAATTAAACCAGGTTAGCCTATATATGATGATTCCTCCAATGTTTTACACAGGTTTTTAGAAGCACAGATCACAATTCATGTCTACGTACCAATATCACTAATTGGCTGTTTCACTCCTATTTCATTATTTACAGTCATTATCGACACTAGGCTTGTATCAGGTTCTATTGCATTTTTCAGTTCCTGGTGGAAATCATACAAGAGGAAAATAGTTAGATATATACAAACCAGTTCAAGTTCAAAACAAGTGAAATATAATGGGTCAAGTTCAGAACTGGCCACTAAAATCTTAAAATAACTGATTCTAAATTCATTCTATCAGTTCAAGTTTGACATAGCCTTGGGCAATCCAAGGAAAACAAACTATGCATTCTATACATCTTCCTTATTTGAATTCTCAGACTAGAGACACAGAGTTATTATTTTATCTGATGCCATCAAAATACAGGCCCCACATTCCACAAGAGAGAGAGAGTAACTGTAATGGTTGCTATACTTGATGAATCCTAATACAAACAAAATTAATCATACATTGCCTCTGAATGGTCAAGTAAAGTCTAAAATCAAGGGAAACAATTATACATTACACTTCCCACATTACAATATTCTACTGTTTGATAGACCTTTAGTTTCCATGGATTCAACTATGTTAACAATTATTTTAGAAGTATAACATACACTACATACTGTAGAATTAAATTTAAAAAGATAAAAGATGGCTACAAATATCTGTACTAATACATATGGCCACATATAGCCCATCAAATTCTGATTACTTGAACTTTTAAAGCTGGAAAAAAATTGCATAATGGATCTGTGAACTTTATTTGTCTTTCAGTGGAATAACTCTCTGAAAGCTAAACAAAATATAGTGAAGACTGGTATGTAGGGAATAGTAGACAAAATTTGAAAATGAGTGGATTAGGCTGGAGGCTAGGAAAAGAAAATCCCCCAATGTATCCTATGGGAGAGATATTTGTGCAGTGGCTCAGAAGGTTGGTGACTGCTATTCTAAGCCCCTTTCCCTCCTACTCATATGACCCAGAATAAAGCATATGTAGCCTTCCCCATACCTCCCAGTGTGCAAACACACAAATGCAGTGATAACACAACAAAAATATACATACATGTACAATATTACTTTGTTACACAGATAACATGGCTACCTGATAATATGGAAAGAAGTCAAGAAACTATTTTTTTTCAAGCTTTCCCTACTTTCTTTAAAATTATGACAACTTTGTAATTTCTATTTTTAAATGGAATCCCAGGTCAAAATTCTTGTTGAGGTAAAAAAGCAGCAAGTTTTAACAAACAAATGAATGTTATTTGATGCAATCCTACGTATGCATACTCAACAGTTCCATTAAATCAAATACTGTATGACCTTAGTATTAGAATTGCATTTTAACAAATACCATTACCATTTAATCAAATTATTTCAATGTGAAAACAAGCTTACCATGTTTTAAATTGCATTTATTAATGTACTTAGATTTACTGAAAATGGTTAACAGCCTGAACATCAATTCTAACCTTCTACCAGATAAACATTTTGTTTGTTTTTATTGAGGAAATTCTATGCAGAAAGCTATACTAGGCTAATGAGGACAGCAAAAAATTGAAACAGCACTGTGTTTTTCAGATGTACAAATATTTGAAAGTAAATCACTTACCTTTATATCTATAAGGCCATTTTTCTTTACAGGCAAGTAAGTAACTCGAAAGCCCTCAGCTTCTAGGGCACGACAAGAATCTAGCACACATTTGTGTTCAGTTTGTGTTGTAATTATATGTTTCTTTCTGGATTTATAAAATCTTCCAACACCCTTTAAATTGATACAAGAAAAAAAGATTTTATGATCAAAAGTGATGACAAGAAGTAGTTTTCATGAATATTAAATTAGAAATGTAAAATTCTCATTTTCCTTAAAACTTCAAGCAATTGTCACCAAAAGTTTGAAATTCCCTATTCAGAATTATATATCTTAATGATTTAGATTAGTTTCCAATGAAATATGCATGCTGCAGTTCTGCACTTATATGGAAGTAATTACATTCAGTATAATTTCAAATATAAAATTATAATATGATTTTGGCTTTAATTCAGTCAAGTAGAATATTGGAGGAGAGCAAATGTCATCCCCATCTTCAAAAGGAGGATAAGCAGGAAAATTACAGGCCTGTTAGCTTGATATCTATATTGGGCAAAGTTTTTGAACAGATAATGGGTCTATAAATACTTGGAGAGGCAAGCTATGATTAAGCCCCTCACATAGGTTTGTCACAAATAAATCATGCAGTTTAATCTTGATTCTTTTTTAACAGAGGTACATACTAAGTAAATCAGGAGAATGCCAGAGACATAGTAAACCTGAACCTTAACAAAGTTTTTGACATAGTGCCTTATGTTATGTTGGGATGTATAAACAAGCTCCCAGAATCCAGATGATAGAGAGTATCTGAAGTACTGTAATCATTCTGGGCATCACTGTTCAAAAAGGACAGTGACAAATTGAAACAAATTCATCAAGATGATGAAAGATCTGGAAATGAAGCCATATGAGGAATAGTTAAATGAATCACAGAATATTTCATCCAAAGAAAAAACAACTTCCAGGCAAACTCAACATATCTTGGAAAGAGCAGAAACAACAATTGTGGCAAAACCTGACAATCGGCAATTAGATTAGTTCTTTGGAACCTCTCCAAACAAGGAGAGGAGGGGAGATTGCCCACAGGTGCTCTGGACTCCTGCCCCTGTGATAAGATGCAGAAAAGAGGTCGCATCAGCCATTATGTTCACAGCCCCAGCTGAGTTTTTTAGAAGACATCGAGTTTACTAACCGCAGTTTCTAATCACTTTCAGAAATTTCTTATTTAACTATCCTAAGGCATAATGTTTATCTGAGACTATGATTTCACAAATTGGACACTAGAGGGAACTAAAGATTCCAGGAAGAAAAGGGGAAAATAGTGAAAAATTGCCTTCAGTTTTTAGTTATTACAGGAATGTATAAAATAACACAAAATGCTATTAACAGTTCAAATAGTAGAAGAGATTTTTGAATTAGTAGGTATAATGTCAGCAACATAAACAATAAAGTATGCTTCCATTCCAAAAGATGCTAATAAAGTTGTTTATTGAAAAGATCAGTTATTACATTTATTAGTGGCTGGAAACCAGTGGTGGGTTGCTCCCGGTTCAGTCCGGTTCTATAGAACCGGTAGTAAAACCGGCGGGAGGCTCCACCCATCCGCCACAATGTCATCATGGGTGATTTGCACATGTGCAGAAGCTCACAATCCCGCTGCGAACTGGTAGTAAAGGTAAGTGGAACCCACCCCTGCTGAAAACCCATTATGGATTTTTGGCTGAAAAAAGAAAAAATATTTTTTAGATTTTTATCCCCTCTTTTCTATATATACAGTTCAAGCCAGAGTACCTATCCTTCCTCCTCTAATTTTACCCACGACCATCATCCTGTGAGGTGAAGTGGACTGAGACAAAGTAATTGGCCCAAAATCACCCAACCAATTTTTCATATCTAAGGCAGGACTAGAACTCAGTCTCCTTTTTTCTAGGCCTTAACCACAACACCAACTTGCTCAATTATGGATTTGATTTATGGATAATTAAAAAGAATAGATTATGAAAAGAAGGCAACAATGATGTAACTTTAGAGAGAGAAGATATAATGTAATGTACTTATGACTATTAAGATCAAAAGCCACAAATGCTCAGAGGCAATGGAATGTTGATTGATTGCTTTGGGGAAGGGAAAGAAAAAAGGAATCAAATGAAGTGTCCACAGCATCACGCCGTGCTATAATATTCTTTTGTATCTCAAAGTGCCCTATAATGCTAGCATACAAATGCACAATTACAAGAAAATTTCAAAGTATATTTTGTTTAAAGAAGAATAGCCTTCAGTAAATTTAAGTACTGTACACTGCATATGCAACTTCTCAAATGGAATTTCTGAGATTTATTATAACATTTATTTATAGTCTAGAAAAATGAATATGTTACTAGTTGCTGTTGCTTTATTCACAAATACATGTCTTCCTTAGAACTAAAGGGAAACACAACAATTGTTTAATTCTGAGAAATTATTATGATAACATTTTCAATTAATACTACAATATATTGGCTTTGCCAGTTGGCTTGGGGCCCCAGTGGAGGAACAGTGCAATGGAGGTGGTTGACTGAGTAGTAACAGATCCCACCTCCTCTGCACTCCACTCCTGCCCTCCCTGAATGTCTTTGGTTTTAAGGTTTGATTTTAACTTTTTATGTTTTAACATAGATGTAACTGTAAGCTGCCCAGAGTTACCGTATGGTAAGATGGGTGGCCAATAAATTTTATTTATAAATAAACAAACACATACATGCATTTACCTTAATTGCTATATTGTTTGATTCTGTGGCCCCACTGGTAAAAATAATTTCTCGAGGATCTGCTCCTATTAATGATGCAACTTGCTGGAGGGAAAAAAATGGAATGCACAAATGTAAATTAGAGCAAACTTTTTGGGGAAAAAATCTAATGTTTTTCAGAATAAAACTGCTTAACAATACAGCAGAAACAGATTATTATTTAATTTTAAGAAAAAACAATATTCTTACCTGTCTGGCTTTTTCCATTGCAGTTTCACTTTCCCAACCATATGCATGAGTTCTAGAGTGTGGGTTGCCATAGTAATGCACAAGATAAGGCAGCATGCTATCCAAAACCCTTGGGTCCTAGAACATAAGATACATAGCAAGCCATTTTACTTTGTTTTTGCTCTTATTTGATTCCCATATATCCAGTTCTGTTAACAGAGATGCAATACATAAGTGCATGTAGATGCACTTATAAAAGGCAGCGTAGTAATCCTAATTCAAAAGGGAACATTTTTGAGACTACATGGGGCATGGGTATTGCACCCATCAGTTTCTCCTTAAATCAAATATGTCCTTTTCTAGGACTGTTTTATTTTTCTTCCATTCAATCATAAATCCTCAGAAACTGCCTGGACAAGTCCCTGCAGGTTTTTTTTTTCCGCAAGGTTTTTCAAAAGTGATTTGTCATGGTCTCCTTTCTATGATTATCCCAAGGTCAACCTGCTGGCTTTGTGCCCATGCTAGATTAGAATTCATGATTTCCTGATTTCTAACTTGATGCCTTAATCATTATACCAAACTGATTCTCTCCTATGAGAAGATAGCGTATTTAAGACATTTCTGCCAGATGTAATATCAGTAGTCTGTGTGCTCCAAATCATTTTTCCTTTTGAATTCAGATCGTTACATAGCTTTGATGTGTAATATTGAGATAGCTTTAGGCACTTTTTAAAATAAAAGTTAACATAAAGATGTAAACAAGTCTATATATATTCTCATTAATCAGGTTTAATACAGTGTCGATATTTAGATGAGTATAGGACTCAAACATTATGAACCAGAGTAGATCACTTGGGGACCTCCAGATATTTTGGATTACAACTATTATCCTCACCACTCGGATTTATGATAGTTTTTGTATAAAATGTAGAAGCTATCAAATAGCCAGTGCAACATGATGATAAAAATCTTGTACAAAAACTTTCAGATTCAAGGCCACTTATAGCAATGGAAAGTCTGCTGATTTTGGGATACCCAAATGCAAACTACCTCACAGAGTTGCCATTGTGTAAAAGAATAAAGGGAGATTCCTACATAATCCCTATTAAGCTCTTGGAGAAAAATATGTAAGAGAATATTGTCTATTCCTAAAGAACATTTAACTGCAATAGGAGAGGTCCCTAAATAAGTGTGCATACAACCATCCTGTAAATACAGTTTAGTTTTATTTTTCTGTTAGTAAAGAACAAAAACTTTCCAAACCAGAATTTAGTGAATATACCATAGGGGTTGTTGCTTGGACGTCCATATATAATGGCCGGAGTGAAGATTCATCAACATGGCCTTTACCTAGCAAAAGACAACACAACAACTCTTAAGAAACACAGTTTGAAATGGGGGAGGAGGGGGAACGACACTGAACTCCCAACTTCTTAAACTTCTCACTGTACGACAACCTGCTTCCAAAATGCAAAAGAGTGCTGCTCAAACGTCACACCTTGCGAGTGTCAATATGACACTTTTTTTTAAACTTTTTCCTTGTAGGGCAGTGTTTCTCAACCTTGGAAGCTTGAAGATGGGTGGACTTCAACTCCCAGAATCCCCCAGCCAGCAGATTCTGGGAGTTGAAGTCCACCCATCTTCAAGCTTCCAAGGTTGAGAAACACTGTTGTAGGGGATACGATTAGCCAACAGAAAAAAGGAAAACGCCGCGCAGCAGACAGATGTCATTAAATCTGAGAAAGAAGATGCCTGTATATTACTGCTACTTCAAACTCAGATCTGCTGAATCCCAGCCAGGTCAGCTCTTCCAAAAGAAATGAGCAGTTACCTTGTTGGTGCAGAGCCCCCGAAAACTTCCTTCCTTGGGAAACCACCCGCCCTTTCGAGACCCACAACGCCGTCGGCCGTAATATCAGCATCATCCCCTCTTCTCGGGTTCCCCTACACGCTCCTTAACGCAAACGCAGTTTCAAAGCTCAGCAGCGCCTGCAGTTAACCCTTCAACCTAGGGCTGAGGTGGTTTCCTGTTTCGTCATCAGACTGAGCCGGAAACAGATCGAACGGTAAGAAGATCGTCGTTGGAGAGACTTCTCAGGGGTCGAGGTGAGAGAGAGAGAGAGAGAGAGAGAGAGAGAGAGAGACGGCCCCGCCGATAACTGGGCCGAGGATTTTAGACCAGGCGGCTCGACATTTGGAGCGCTTGATTTTTTTATTTTTTTTTGCGCCAGTTTCTGAGGAGAGGCCTTTTAAATGTGTTTGTTTATTGGTTTTACCAAGCTTAATTAAAGCTAACCGTCCAGAAACGCTAGGAATCGGGCGGTATATAAATTTCATTTTATTATATACACAATAATGTGAAGTCACAGCTATCCTGTTTCCCTCAAAATAAGACATTGCCTGATAATAAGCCCAATCCGGCTTTTGAGTGCATGGCAATAAGGCCAGGCGCTTATTTCAGGGTTCAAAAAAATATAAGACAGGGTCTTATTTTCGGGGAAACACGGTATCAGTGCCTTAGCTGTATTGGCTTAAATACGCATCAAGTTCTTTAATTGGTTTGGGCTTAATGCTGTATGAATACAGCCTTGGTTATATCTTAACGTGGTAGCCAATTGAATGTTTGCCTATAAAACATGGTTAAAGAAACCCTGGTTTTCTATGTCTTGGTGATAACTTAGTGATCATCCCGATTTTATTATATATATATGTATGGTCGTTATGGTTTACTGTAGGTACCAATCACTTTTAAGGTACAGGAGTTCAGGAACTCACAGTGAAAGAATAGGGAAAAAAGACAACTTCATAATATTTTATATAAAAGAAAAGAGCCTTGGTGGTGCAGTGGACTAAAGTGCTGTTAAATAGCACTTAGCTGCCAGCTGCCTGCAATTACTGCAAGTTCAAATCTCACCAGGCTCAAGGTTGACTCAGCGGTATAAAAAAGAACACCGCTTAGGGGGGGCCAAAAGCCCTACTAAGCAGGTATATACAAAAGTATGACGGCTATTGCTTAATGCATTGTAAACCGCCCTGAGTCTCCGGAGAAGGGCAGCATAAAAATCGAACCAATAAATAAACAAATAAATAAATAAATAAAATTTTAAAATCTCATTTGCAGAAACATGGTAGGCCGTTGTAGTGCATCTAGCTTTCTTTCCCTAACAATTGTTTGCTGTCCCTTTTAAAAGTAGAGCTTTAGAAGTTGATAAATTTTCCTGTGAGAAAAGAAATTAGCTTGTTTATGGGATGGATATAAATTTATGAACAAATATGATGTTCATAATATGTACAAATATTAATGCAATTATACGATTAATGCAAGATTGTATCATCGTCTTTTAAATTGTTTAGTACTGCATATCAGTATCACACCTGCAGATTTAAAATACATATTTGAATGTTAGGGGACAGTGAATTAAAATAATTAAATTATGTTCCCTGAATTAGTTTACTAGTATTTGCATTCAAACAAATATTTAAAAAAATGTGTTCATCTCTTTATTTAGAAGCTGCTTAAAGTTTTTAATTTGTTTTTGCTAAATAGATCTGCTGGAAGGGGTCATTTACAGCATAAAGTTCAATCTGCAGAAATCCATATTAATGCATCCTTGAAATATGATCTTTAATTTTCCTTTTGAATATATATCCAGTGAAGCAGATACTACTTTTCTGGATAATTGGTTTCACTGTTGAACTGTTTTTACTTTTAGATAACTTCTGTTAATGTTGAAATGGAAACCATTTTCCTACAATTTAGACTGATTATTCCGAGTTCTGTGCCTTGGGGAAAAAAGGGAATAGGTCTTGATCTACTTTCTTTCAGTTGTGTTTTCTCAAGACTAAACATACTCTGTTCCTTTCATCTTTCTAAATAGGTTAATTTCTAATCCCCAAATCATTCTTTGAGCTTATAAATCCTTCCTAAACATGATTCCCAAAACTGAAAACTATTTTCTAGGTGAGGTCTAACCAAAACAGAACAAAATAAATTATTTTCTGTGATTTCCAAATCACACTTCTGTTATTGCAGTTTAAAATTGTAAATGCTTTTTTAAAAGCTACATAACACTGCTTGTTCATATCCAGTTTGCGGTCAACTGGTATTTCACCATCTTTTTCACAAATATCATTGCTAATCCAAGTATCCCCTATCCTACACATGTGCATTTGATTTTTCTTTTCTGAGTGAAAACTTTGTGCTTGTTTCTGTTACATTTCATTCTATTATTTTCAATCCCTCAAATTTATCAAGAAATTTAATGAATTTTATTTCTGTGCTCCAGACTACAATACTAGTTATTCCAACCAGTTTGGGAACATCTAGAAATTTGATGGGCATCCACATTCCAGTTCATGACCCCTTGTGGTTGAAAATCTGTCCCCAATTTGATGAGTAATTGATGAGCACTCCTTAAGTATGAGTCATATACATACAGATTTAGCATGTGACCAGGTCCACTGTTAAGTAGCTTATGCGAGCATGCATGATGTATAAGATATATTTTGTGTGCATGGAATAAACACTTTGTGTCTTGCCAATCCAACTAAACCAAATCCTGAACATTTTATTTTGGATTTTGACCAAAACTAATCTGAAGGAGTACCTTACCCCTCTCTTCTGCTTTCCTCCCATATGTTCTATGCATTTGCCCTCCTCTGATCTCTCCATATGTTCTTTCCCTTTCTGTAGTCGCTACTGTGCACTGTTTCCTTCACTGACAGTCCTTTTTCCACCACTCTCTTCACCCTGGAGCCTTTATGTTCTGGGTCTATGAATGAACAATACACAGGTGTTCCAAACTGTATTATAAGTGAACATAAAGGTAGAACATGTTTCAGCCTGTGCACAGACTGTCCAGAATTATTTGTTCTGTGCATGTAATGCTTTGCCCATCCTTACCAAGTTGTTACTTAGTTAGTCACAGTTTACTTTCACTAAAATAGTTATCTGATAAAAAATGGAAAGAGTTATCTGGCAAGAATTTGTTCTTGACAAATCTTTGTTGACATTTGGTAATTCAAATATAGTTTTCAAATATTTTGTTGAATTTTTATGATCAACTGAATCTGCGATCCCTGGATCCTCCTTTTTCTCTTTTTTGAGGATAGGGACAACAATTGCCATTTCTCAGTCATCCACTAGGTAATCAGTTCTGTAGGATTTCTTAAATATAATATATGATTCAGCCAGACCATCAGCTACTTCTTTCATTACTCTAAGAAGCAATTCATTATTAAGTCTGGGAAATTATTGAAAGTAAATATGTTTCTCTTAACCATATTTCTGTCAGTCTCGAGTTTCAATCCCACCCATTCATCCTATTCTTCACAATCTGGTATGGTAGCGGAACACATTTTGTTGAATAAGATGGAACCAGACTTGAATCATGGAGTCATAGTGGCTGATTAGTGAAAATGTTAACATACTACCTAGATGCTGGGATTATTTTAAAAAAAATAAAATTTCATGCTTGGAATCTTTCAGAAGGATTATTCATATATTCCTATAACATAAATGCTACTTTTACCCCCAAACAGTATTGCTATAATGAGATATAATACAATCAATTATAAAACATCAATCCAATGTAACATTGCTCAGGGACAGCATGATCTTATTCATTTGCAAATGTTTGTTTTTTCTAAAGGGAACCTGTTTTTTAAGATTCTTTGAAAATGTAAGAAGGTTACAGCCTGTACATCTGAGAGTAAACTGTTTCAAAGGGAGCATGGTTAAAATGCGCCTCAGTGCTTCTGAAAAAAATGCAATGCCAAAAAAAAAAAAAAAACCTTCTCCAAAGGAAATTAACTGAGAAGGCTCAAGCCCAGAGTCTCTGAACATGGATTTCTTCACTACTGGGACTCTCAGAAAGTCTTGATTAACAGGTTCCAGAGAAGGCAAGTCATGGAGATACCTGGACTTGAGTTATGTAAGGAAACAGCAGCTTGAATTTCACTCAGAAGCTAATTGGCAGCAATGTAACTGTCATACCAGTGATATTACATGAGAATATCTTCATATGCCCATTACTAGTCATGCCAATTGCATACTACACCATCTGAAGCTTCTGGATGGTCTTCAAGGTCAGCTCCATGTAGAGCATTTTTCTATAATCCAATCGCTTAGTTTAATTGAGGGACTAATTAAAGCAGTGGTTCTTAAACTTGGGTAATGTGAACATATCCTTGGCGGTAATGGAGCAATTTTGTGAGTTAAGGATCCAGTGTGGGACTGCTGGTTGTGTAAAACAAGAGTCTAGGTTTTTTGTGAGGGTGATGTTATGACATCAACCTGTTATTCAAGCAGGAGCCATTAATCCAGGAGAAACTTCAATTTATGGCCCTTCTCATAAGTTCAGGAGAGTGCTGTTTGTCCAGACTCAGATAGACTCTGGGTTTAGTTGGTTCCCAAATTCACAGCTACTGTTTTGGTAAGATGCCATATGAGTCTGTTTCTCACCAACAGCCTGCATTGATCAGGAAGTCCTTCCCAACCTTCACCCAGCTCAAGGTACAGATATATAATTGGATATCAACATATTTTTACTTTACTCTGTGCCAGCAGTTAACCTTTCTGGAGCTTCTTATATATGTATTAAACCAGGGGTGTAAAACTGGCGGCCCACAGGCTGGATGCATCATGTGCAGGCCACGCCCACCTCAGGTCCACAAATGGGAAAAATATTGCACGATGGCAACATGATGCTGCGAGTTTGACACCCATGTATTAAACAATAGGAGGAAAAGGTTGAGCCCACAGCATTCCATAATGAATAGCCAATCTTTCCCCATTTACCACCACTACCATTTGGAACCAGCCACTCAGGGGAGAAGAAAATTACTGAAGGGATTTTTCTTATTCCCAATCTTCACTGTCAGTGCAGAAGATACCATAATCAATGGTATCAAAGGCTGCTAGAAACCTAGCATAACTGGAATATGTGTATTTGCATATTATTCTGGTTTATCCCCCTATTATCCTTTCAAGGTAGATAATCAGGAAACTAAGTCACTAAGAGTATGGAGACCCCGTGAAAGTGATAATTAATTTGAGTTTGTTTGCTTCTCATAGTCTCCCAGGACTAAGATTTATTTACATATTTTGGTTAACTGTTCCACCTTCTCTTGATATTCCACCTTAACATTGGTTTAGCCTGCTTTAATGGGATGGGACAAAATTCATGGAGGAACAGACTGTAAATGATCTATACTTTTTAATTTTGATGGTTGCTTATTACTGTGTTGTTTTTTGCCTTCAAGTCAGTATTAACTGCTGATGATTACTTGAACAAATACCTGCAGTTTTCTTGGCAAGATTTTGGAAATAGTTTTCCATTACCTGTTTGCTACGGCTGAGACAATGATTGTCCCAATGTCACCCAGCTGCCTTTGTACCCAAGGTCAGACAAGAACTCATATCTCCTAGTTTCTAGCTTGATGGCTCTATACCTTAGATTGAGATATTATATCTCAATTACCAGCTGAGAGAGAGAGAGAGAGAGAGAGAGAGAGAGAGAGATGAATGAAGATTAGCTTGTTCTAGCATTATTATTACAAAGCTTCCTGCATCTCATTGTTTACTGGGGAAAACAGAACATCAGAGTTGATCCAATTTAACAAGTTTTTGTGTTCTTAAAATCTCTCCAGAATTTAACTTGATTCTAGGGACTTCATTCAATTTTGGCAACAATATGAATGTGATTTGCAGTTGCTATCCTCCTCCTCATTGCTGTTATACTATTTTTAATTGTATGAGATTCTTTGAGAATCAGAGTAAAAACAAATTCCAACCCTGTTTAGCTTTTTCAAACTGGCCAAGGTTGACTGAGTACTACTCTCTGCACTAGTCCTCCAAGTTATTATTTCAGAAGTGTTTTTTTTCAATGATCGCTTGGTACCTTAATGTTTTACAATCCTAAATCAAAATAATCTTTTTTGGAAAGAATTAATATAGTAGCTATGCACTTGTTATTATCCCTGATGTCCACATAGAAGCCAAAATGGCTTTAGGTAAAATATATTGTCTTGAAAATCATGCTGAACAAGTTAAGGATAACCTGATAATTCAGCAAAGGATTGATTAGCAGGCTGAAAATGTGTAATTGATTATTGACATTCCTACAATTCCAAAGGTTAACTTCCAAATTTCATTAATCATGATTGGGACAGATACTTAATTTATATATCTATTTTGGCAAATATTTGTGTATTATTTTATAAATGACATTGGATCTGAAGGAAAAGAATAGTTATTTTTTATGTTTCTAGGAAACCATTTACAATCTTTTATTAGAAATTGTGGCTTATGCACAATGATTTGTTTGCGAAGGTCTGATGGATATAGCCATGCATATTTGTGTATTTTTACCAGAAATATGAGGCTTAAATTATAAAGATCTAACTAAAATTCTCATCATTGATTATTTTAAAATGCTTCAAATATTTTTAGTAATACAAATAAATATTCCTTCCAGTTGAAAATGGGATCCTCTTGATGTTTAGAAGCAATACATATTACATATGTGCTCAATTTTCTTTCTAGATGCCTGTGACAGTGGGATCATATGGCCAGTCCCAGCCCAGTTGTTTTGACAGAGTAAAAATGGGCTTCATGATGGGCTTTGCTGTTGGCATGGCAGCAGGTGCACTATTTGGCACGTTTTCTTGTGTCAGGTATGTTGGAGACCAAATTCCATAGTTTTATGCAGTGTAATTACAATTGTACTAAGCTGCTAGCTTAGTACAATATGTATATACTTACATTCTATTACCCTGTTTCCCTCAAAATAAGACATCCCCTGATAATAAGCCCAATCGGGCTTTTGAGCGCATGGCAATAAGGCCAAGCGCTTATTTCAGGGTTCAAAAAAATATAAGACAGGGCCTTATTTTGGGAGAAACACGGTATTAATAGTATATTAATAACTAAATATCTTAAACTTGACGTTAAGATTTGTAGACTATTTGTATATATTTTTAAGACTTACCAAATACTCAGATCTCATTATGTTTATGAAGTATTGAATATAATGACTAAAGGAAATCATAAAAAACATAATTTGCAAAGCTTGGATGTGGGCTGACCTTGAAACCATGTTTTGATCAGGGAGGAAACATTCAGCAGGCAACTTTGGTGTTCTTTATCCTGACACTTTTTAATCTTCCACTGATGATTTTCTTTGACTTATTTTGAAAAAATAACTTTCTGTTAAACATTGTGTTTCATTTTTAGGCTTGGCATGAGAGGACGAGAACTGATGGGTGGCGTTGGCAAAACCATGATGCAGAGTGGTGGAACGTTTGGGACATTTATGGCTATTGGCATGGGAATCCGCTGTTAACTTGAATTTCTTTTATTCTTTTTTACCATGAAGACTAATGCCCCTGTTACTCCAGATCCTGCTATGTAAAATAATAAAACTTTGTATCAGGAAAAGATAAAAGTATCTCAGCCCTTTTTGCTGTATTGATTTGCTATTATTTCTCTTAGCAATCATTTTCTACAATAAACTCTGGATGTGAGCATAAGTGGCATAGTTATGTTGTATAGAAGAACTACATGTCACAATAATTTCCCTTTTTTGGTTGGGTTGGGCTCAAGTTAATATTGACATAGATTTTCATCCTGTGTTTGTATGCAAGTCCAAAGTACTTGGTAAGCAATTTAAATATCATAGCTTCCTAACAGAGGTCAGAAGTACACACATAAGATTTTTGGTATATCATTAACAGTGGTTTACTTTTAACACAATTTTCTGGATATGCATGATGCTGAACTAATTTTACATCATATAGTTATAAAACATGCAAGGCTAAACATTGCTGACTGGCTAGCTTGCAATTTAATACAAGATGTGAATGCAGTGAGCAGGTGGCACCATAGATTGCTGAAAAAGCTGCAACAATTTACGGGTAGATTTTAGATTTTATTTACCGTATAAATTTGAAAGTTAACTATTAACTTTTTTCAACTTAAAAAATGAAACACGTCAGGTATAGCACAAAAATAGTATTTTTATGGCTTGCCTTGCAACTAATGTTTAAATCAAAAGTTGAGTTGCTTGCCTATCATTTTTAATTCCTTTTATTATTGCACATAGTAACTACAATAATCTTGCTCCATGTCTATATAGTATGTTATAGCTGGCAAGATAATATAGCTAGCTGTGTCGAATAATGGCAGGTATAAAATCATTTCAAATATGCAGCTGTCTCACATATGCCAAACCTTGATCTTCATACTCAGGTTATAAATTTACAACAGGATATTAAAAGAGCAATACAATAATACTAAGGAAAAACTTTCAAGCAGCAAATGTAAGACTCAAATTACACTTTTTCAAGAATTATTCCTGCTAAGATATTCTCATCTAGAGGTTGGAGAACATTGTGGAGTGTGTGTGTCTAAAGATAGATAGATCGATAGATTTCTATCTATCGATCTACCTACCTACCTACCTACCTACCTACCTACCTACCTACCTACCTATCTATCTATCTATCTATCTATCTATCTATCTATCTATCTATCTATCTCTCAGTCTGGAAACAGGAGTATAAGCGAATGGGGGTCCATTGTTATAGTAACTCTGGATGTTATTCTTTGAGACCATGCATGATTTTAAATCAGTTTTTGGTTGCACCTATCTTCAAAGCCAGTGGAGATTTAAAAGCACAGGGCTTGCCAGTGGTTCTGTCAACAGCTGCAGCTTCTAATTCCCTTGGCTGGATGTCAGTGCTGTAGGATTTCTTTCACAGTATCTTTATAGCGCTTGCGTGATCAACCTCAACACCTCTTCTCAGACTCCAGCACACTATAAAGTAACTGGTGAGATAAAAGGCCAACAAATGTCAAGACCCTGGACCACCCCAACAATGCCCTTGAAGTGATGTCCCGGTGCCTGGAGGCCGTGCGGATCTGGATGGGGAGAAACAGACTCAGGCTCAACCCATCCAAGACCGAGTAGCTGTGGTTTCCAACATCTCGATATAGTCAGTTGGTGCCATCACTGACTATTGGGGGCGAGTCATTGGCCCCCACGGAGAGGGTTCACAACTTGGGTGTCCTGGACTCACGGCTGTCTTTGGAAGAGCACATGATGGCCGTGGCCAGGGGGACTTTTTATCAGGTCCGCCTGATTCGCCAGTTGCGTCACTTTCTGGATCGGGACTCGTTAAATATGGTCACTCATGCTCTCGTTACTTTCCGCCTGGACTACTGCAATGCTCTCTACATGGTGCTCCCCTTGAGGAGCACCCGGAGGCTACAGCTGGTCCAGAACGCAGCCGCGCGGGTGGTTATGGGAGCGACGTGGCGCTCCCATGTGACCCCCCTCCTGCGCGAGCTGCACTGGCTCCCGGTGGTCATCCGGGTGCGCTTCAAGGTTTTGGTTACCACCTTTAGAGCGCTCCATGGCATCAGACCGGGGTATTTACGAGACCACTTTCTGCTACCAATAGCCTCTCACCGACCAGTACGCTCCCATAGAGAGGGGCTTCTCAGGGTGCCGTCGGCCAAACTGTGTCGAGCCTTCTCTGTGGAGACACCTACCATCTGGAACGAGCTCCCCCCAGAGATACGGAGGATCCCGGACCTGCGCACATTTTGTCGTGCTCTCAAAACTTTTTTATTTCAGCAGGCTGGCCTGGCCTAATTCTCCCCTTTTAAATTTTTAATTCGTTTGATTTTATAATTGGGTGTTTTAATCTGTGTTTTGGCCAAAATATTTAATAATTTTAAGGGACTTTTAATATTTGTATTATCTGTATTTTATCTTGGCTGTTCACCGCCCTGAGTCCTCCGGGAGTAGGGCGGTATAGAAATTTGATTAATAAATAAATAAGAATAAATAATAAATAAGAATGAAAGACAGCATATATGTGAAATTTGATGGGCCTTTGGTACAGAATCCAGGACTTTTATCTATATAGGAGGAAAGGATAGCCACAGCTCTAGAATTTCAGCTTTGTGGAGAGCTGCTCTGGTGCCTGGCTGGCCCTGCTAATCCTACAGTAAAAAAACTTAATCCAAAAAGACCTATTGGTTGGAGATAATGTTTTCCAAGTATTTGAAGCTGTGCATATGTCAACTAGGTGTCATCAAGTGATTCTAGACTCAACAAGTTTATTTGGCACAGGTGATAAAACTATTTGAGTCTTGTTCAGGCTGATAGGCGGTCAAATCTCATCACTACAGAATCTCATCAGTACAGAGGTCTAGGGCATTAAGATATAATGATCAGTTATGGACATCCCATTTAGTAAATTAAAAAGGGCTCTGTCCAGTGATTTTCCAGACCTTCCTAGCATTTGATCCAGCTTGACGAATCAGATGTCAGTAAGGAGATCATCCTGATATAGAACCATAGACTTCGTAGCACTGAAGAACTTTCTGGTGGCATGCATGATTACATAGGAATATGTTCCTACAGGTAGTAAATTGCTGGAGAGTACATCTTGGAAATGTCGAACTTGATGTGGGTCTGCTGATGTTGAATGAGTTTCTGAGGGTCCTTGGTTACGCATGATGCAAAGGGCCTGTTTAGGTTGAGTGACTAAATTAGCCTGTCATCTATCTAGCACTCAGCATTTTGCCTAATAGCATGGTTGATGGTGATGTCTTTTAAGATCACACTGACATACTATGACTTAGTCAAGTATGAGCCAGTGTTAGGACCTGGATGTACTCAAGTAGTTTTGTACATCCAGGTTCTAATACTGGCATATACAGTGGGGCAAAAAAGTATTTAGTCAGCCACCAATTGTGCAAGTTCTCCCACTTAAAAAAAAGAGAGAGGCCTGTAATTGTCATCATAGGTAGACCTCAACTATGAGAGAGAAAATGAGAAAACAAATCCAGACAATCACATTGTCTGATTTGGAAAGAATTTATTTGCAAATTATGGTGGAAAATAAGTATTTGGTCAATATCAAAAGTTCGTCTCAATACTTTGTTATATATCCTTTTTTGGCAATGACAGGTCAAACATTTTCTGTAAATTGTCACAAGGTCGGCACACACTGTTGCTGGTATGTTGGCCCATTCCACCATGCAGATCTCCTCTAGAGCAGTGATGTTTGGGGGCTGTCGCTGGGCAACACGGACTTTCAACTCACTGCAAAGGTTTTCTATGGAGTTGAGATCTGGAGACTGGCTAGGCCACTCCAGGACCTTGAAATGCTTCTTACGAAGCCACTCCTTCGTTGCCCGGGCAGTGTGTTTGGGATCATTGTCATGCTGAAAGACCCAGCCACGTTTCATCTTCAATGCCCTTGCTGATGGAAGGAGGTTTGCACTCAAAATCTCACGATACATGGCCCCATTCATTCTTTCCTGTACACGGATCAGTCGTCCTGGTCCCTTTGCAGAGAAACAGCCCCAAAGCATGATGTTGCCACCCCCATGCTTCACAGTAGGTATGGTGTTCTTTGGATGCAACTCGGCATTCTCTCTCCTCCAAACACGAGTTGTGTTTCTACCAAAGAGTTCTACTTTGGTTTCATCTGACCATATGACATTCTCCCAATCCTCTTCTGGATCATCCAAATGCTCTCTAGCAAACTTCAGACGGGCCCGGACATGTACTGGCTTAAGAAGGGGGACACGTCTGGCACTGCAGGATCTGAGTCCCTGGCAGCGTAGTATGTTACTGATGGTAACCTTTGTTACATTGGTCCCAGCTCTCTGCAGGTCATTCACTAGGTCCCCCTGTGTGGTTCTGGGATTTTTGCTCACCGTTCTTGTGATCATTTTGACCCCACGGGGTGAGATCTTGCATGGAGCCCCAGGTCGAGGGAGATTATCAGTGGTCTTGTATGTCTTCCATTTTCTAATTATTGCTCCCACAGTTGATTTCTTCACACCAAGCTGCTTGCCTATTGCAGATTCAGTCTTCCCAGCCTGGTGCAGGTCTACAATTTTGTTTCTGGTGTCCTTCGACAGCTCTTTGGTCTTTACCATAGTGGAGTTTGGAGTGTGACTGTTTGAGGTTGTGGACAGGTGTCTTTTATACCGATAACAAGTTCAAACAGGTGCCATTAATACAGGTAATGAGTGGAGGACAGAGGAGCCTCTTAAAGAAGAAGTTACAGGTCTGTGAGAGCCAGAAATCTTGCTTGTTTGTAGGTGACCAAATACTTATTTTCCACCATAATTTGCAAATAAATTCTTTCCAAATCAGACAATGTGATTGTCTGGATTTGTTTTCTCATTTTCTCTCTCATAGTTGAGGTTTACCTATGATGTCAATTACAGGCCTCTCTCATCTTTTTAAGTGGGAGAACTTGCACAATTGGTGGCTGACTAAATACTTTTTTGCCCCACTGTATTTGACTGTCATAGTTTGTAAGTCTGAACATTGTGATAGTGATGCACAGGTTGTCCTCAGCACATTTGCTCAGAAAAAGTAGGCCCCACTGCTATTTAGTTTTCCTAATCTATGTCTCCCATGAACTCTGTTCCAGTTGTTGTCTGTCCTCACTCTAGTTTTGAAGTCACCAGAATGATGAATCTGTCATAAGTAACATACTAATTATTTATTAAATAATTGTCGTAAGACAGAAATATGTAAGGAAACAACATTTATAACTGAATTTTCAAATGAAAGCAAGATGATATATTTTTAGAAAAATACTTTCCTTTTTAGAGTTTAAAATAGGAATATTAAATTGATTACAGCAAATTCAACATTCACAGTATTCTTCTATTTACAAAGCTCAAGGATGGAAACTCTAGCCCTCATTCTATTAACCTTTTAGCCAGTATTATATTCAGGCCCACTATCTGAAGATAGTTATTTCTGGCAAGCATGTGACCTTCAATACATTTATTACTGAGCAATACAAATAGGAGAGGTATTTATAAAACCATAGGTATGAGCCAGAAAATAAACAATAATCTTAATTGGAAAAACATACGAGAATCATGTTAGGTAAAAAATATGTTTTAAGGTTTATGAAAATTGGAATAAAATTCTCTATCTCTCCATGACATTACAACTATTACTATATCATAAAAAACAAAGCTGCTACGGTATCTGCAATGAGACAACTGGGTGGCTGGTAAGGAAAATGAGTTCATAACAGCACTGATATCTATGAGCTCAGGCTAAATTAGTATGTGTCTTAAAATAGCCAGCTATTGATTCTTCTGTCCCTTAGAAAGCTTTGGGTTACACAGTGTATCTCATAGCAATGGTTTTCAAGGCAAGAATGTCAATGGTATATGATGGAAACAGAGTGGTCTGGTTGGAATAATGGATATATAACTCCATGCAATTCTTATATATTTTCAAGATGGGTAGCCCTTCCAACAAACTTAGTATTTTGTAATTCAGTGCAGCAGTAGTAATTTTTAGGGTAAACCTGTTTAAACAAATGATTTTATCATGTCCTGTACTATCTATTTACATAATGTAGTTTCAATTGCTCATGACCAACTTGTACCCTGAGAATTGAGCCCACCAAAATGTGTTAAGATATGCACTTTCTTGGATAGAAATGAGATCTGAAAATGTTCAGTCCCAAAATAAACTTGGAACAAATAATGCACTTTACTCCATGCTGTTCCCCAAAGATAACTGACATATTCTACATAGTATGTCAGGAATTTCAATCTGCCAATCTCAAGTATGTTTCAGGTCTGTTTTTCAGAGTGTTCATTATTCTTATACTGACACCCTATAATTATTTTAAATCAAAAGTGGGTAATTGGTTTAAAACATGCAATCTTCCTCATGCAATGAACGAAATATAGTAATAGAGCTCAGAAATTTATTATTTTTGTCATGAGCATATCTTATTTTAAACAATATTTTGTTTTTAAAAGAACTTATGAACGAGGATTTTTCAAGTTTTGACTTTTCGATTCATTAGAACCCTCCTTGAAGACTCAAAACAATGCATTTAAATCAAATTAAATTTGGAAATGAACCAGAAAAATAAGTTTACCTGACCAACAACTATAGAAGGAAATAAAGGAAGTCCTCCTCAACTGGCCATAAAAATATGCAGGTTCCCTCCCCCCCTCCATATCTTGAAAGCTGTAATTGTTCTTAAAATGCAAGACATTCTTTGAATGGTTCTGTGCAGCAGAGGAAAGTGAAGAAAACCACTAAAGGAGATACGATACTTGAAAATTCTAATAAGGACGGAGATTTTTCTGTTAAGCATTAAGAGTTGCTCTAAAATTTAACTATACTGCTAATTCATTTTGTAAACACAAATTAGAAATCAGGCTTCTGCTCACCTAAAGAGATTTAATGTTGATTAAAGTTAATCTTCAGTTTTGTTTAAAAAAAAACACCCAATTCTTCTGGAGGCCTTTGAGAGAATTTTATTTGAGTGGTTCTTACAAAGATTGTTGCCATATGAAAGTTGTTTGTTGATAGAAATATTAAGCTGTTTTGTCAAACACACTGAAGTAACCCAAAAATATATTTCAGAGCTCACAGAGCTTAAAAAAGAGCAGAGATTATATGCAACCAGACAAAATATATTCCTGCATTTCCTACTTCAACTTTTAATTAAGTACATTCCCTGCAATCATTGGAACTTTAATCTGGAAATGCAGAGATAGCTTTGTTTGGAATTCTAAACACACCTTACACCTTATTTACAAGAAACTTTTACAGAGACAATCAAAAGTTACCATCTAGAAATAAAATCTTCTAATCCTCTCAATTTTACCAGCTGTTCAATATTACATGAGCAGATCAGATGACTGAAAATTGTTCAGTAGCCTCTTCAATTTTCAATCCATACAAAACACACTAAATATGTCCAGTTAAATCTGATTTTAACCTTTAGCAGAGCATCTACATTTTAATAAATGTAAAATGCAACTTCTGCATTAAAAGGAAGGCTTGCAAAACATTAAAAATGTCCTCTCCATCTTTTTACAGAAAAAAAATCTTTTCTATAACCTATGTCTGTTCCTACACCATACTTTAGCCAAAAGTCTAAATGTACAAGAATTACAAGGCAGAACAAGTAGTCAGCTTTGTTTACAGTGGGAATGCTAATCATGAGAATAATCACAGCATTCCTGCTTATTATATATATTTCTTTAAAAGTAACAGGAAATGTACACAAAAGGACTTTACATCTTTTTCCTTTTGTTTTCATCTAAATAAAGGTAACTCAAGTCTTCCTTCAAAAATAGCTATGTACAAAACTGACTCAATCCTCCTTCATCGCCGAGTTGGAACCAAGAGCTGGGTTGCAGTCATAGAATCTGGGAAAAGATTATGGTATGTCGGAAGAGGAACATATGCTGCTGTGATCATTTTACCTGTAAGAGAAGAAAACAAAGTATTAATATCTAATAGGACAAAGTGCAATGCCTGTAAAATATAGGAAACAGCTTCCAGTTTTATTTTAGATAATTCAGATTACTATCCTACAATGAATATCCATCATTCAGTATGACTCAACTAAAACCAAAACATATTCAATATGTTTATCACAGACACAAGACCATGCGAAGCATTTATTTAAAAAATAAGTCCTCAGGAGATAAAATGTCACATAGGATAATAAAAAAGAATTTTAAATGCTTGTAATAATTGGACATTTGGTTCCCACCCATAAAGATAAACTAATTTGTACTAAGTATGGCAAAGATAACGTAGGTCACACTGCTCAGTAGGTAATAGTGCTGTGCCCTTGTGTAGAACTCTGGAATTAGCAACCCGGTTTCATGTGTTTGTCCAAGTCTCAGGAATATGTAAAATAAGAAATATTTCCTTATCTGCCTTATTGACTAAATTTCCTTGGGGCAATTTGTCACAAACAAGACAAATTATACAAAATAGGCATGATCAGAGATAGTCTTCAAATCAATTCCTTATTAGTTTTGTTAACTCTCCTAAATTTGGAATTTTCAACTTATCTCTTAAACTACCCCTAGCAGAAATCACATCAAATAATTTTTTGTTTCTTAAAAAGTTTTCCTTCATTTTGAAATGTAACTTGATGTTCTGTCCCCAACCACAGGCTCAGGTAACGGAGCCACAACACTTCCATTGGCTCTTGACAATATGTATCACTCGCCATATGGTTACGAGTTGAAAACACTGAAAACCAAATTTAGGAAATGTACTTTTACATCATTTTAAGAACACCTTTTTCTAGACTCCCGCTCCTGGCCCGAAGGAGTTGGTGATAGTACGGCAGATACTAACAGAGGATAGAAGATGCATCTGAAAGAGCAAATTTTCCAACTTTCCATCCCTAATCTATATCTATTAGTCATATTATAACCATACTGTATTATGACAATATAGTAAATATTCACTTACCTGCAAACCATCTTCCATGTAATGCATTGACAGCTGCAATTGCTGCTGCTATTGAAGGGCATTTGACATACACATTGCCCTGAAGTTAAAAAAAAACAAAACAGTATTTACAAGACAGCCTATACACCGTTTCCTTACCAGATTCCTCAATGCCTCCAGTAACAACAGAGATTTTGATGTACTGCCCTCATCAATAAAAGTCCTTAAAAACTCGGGAAAAATATTCAAAGAGGAAAGAGGTGCACCACCACCACTACCAGGTCATCATGTCACAGCAGATACTATCACCCCTTGTCCTGATGAAGAGTTCACCAGAGCTTGAATCTAGTCTACCATCTCAGCCTGGTGAGATCGTCTGTTGCCATGAGGTGAGCGAACATCAGTATGCTCATGTTATCCAGTTATATATCTTCATCCTGGTGAGCTTAGTGATGCTGTTGATGTCCTCTCAGTATCTGGATGGCAGGCAACAGGCTTACATTTGAAAGTAGCCTATGTTGAATTGTATAGCAGTCAAGCTTCAGCAGTTGAGCACAGGAAAAGTTTTATGGTATTTTGTGCTTCATCAAATGTTTTTTAAAAATGTAAAATATATTATAAAAATCTAAATTTCATGGGAATCATGGATCCTGGATTTCATAAGGTTACAAACATGAAATTTTAGTACACTATAGATTCATTCTACCTAGCAATTTATTTTCTTCGACTATTTGCTCTTCTCTATTTTAATGCTTAGATAAACATATTTAATTGATCTTTTTACTTGCAAATCAACAGGCCTTGGCATAGAAATTTTAAGAAAAAATCAATTGGTAAAAATACTTTTGTCTTTGCTAATTGCTTAATTTTAAAAATAATTTGTATTAAATCATTAACAGTTAAAACACCTAGCACAATTTTTTGACTAAGGTGAAAGCAAAGAAATGTATCTTAAGAGTGTATCTGTAGGAGATAACCAGGCTGAGCCTGAGGGAAGGGTCAAATGTGTCATTACTCTCGAGTCCCAGAAGAGATCTAAATTCAGGCCACCTTGAATTCTATTGATTCTTATCTACCAACTATTTGCTTTCATTGTTAGTAGTTCAGATTCTTGTAGAGAGCATCAGCTTGCAATAAACATTTATATTCATTTAAATTGCCTGGACTTCCTGATTTTCTCACACCTGACAATATCTCATTTATTTGCTCATTAACCCAATATACAGTGACCATTCAATCCCATCTAATGATTTTAACACCTAATCTCAGATAAACATCTTGAAAATGTTGAAGTTTTTCAATACTTGAAAAGAACAGTGCAATACAGAGCTTTTGAGTATAATCTCCTGAAGTAACAGGAAAATTAAAGTATAAATAACCACTGTATACTGTACTGTTACTGACACGCCTGTTAGAAGTTGGAAGAAAACACTCCAGGATTTATGCAACCAAAAGAAATGCAAGACTGTGGAGACCCCTCTTCTCAAACTAGAAACCAATGTTTATAGGTAGGTTGATCCAGAGTTTTGCACACTCTATTTTGTTGTTGGTTGAAATATCATATTTGAATTAAAAATGGTGATTATTTCCCCATTCCATAAACTTTATATTGAATTTTCAACATTGTAATATTCATATAATTCTACATCTGTGAGATAGAATTGGGAAGAGAGACAAGCCAAAAGCCCAATAGAACATCCAATTGAATAGTGTTTGATAAGTTTAAAATTGCTATGGACTGTGAGAAGAGGAAATAGTAATTCAGAAGAGGAATGATGAGATGAGCAGGAGATTGACCTGTAGTTGTCACTGATTAAATAATATGGATAGGTATAGCTGGCTGCCACTTAAAGGTAAACTGCCACTCAAGGACAGAGTAACAACCAGGAAGACAGGCCTAGTAGATGTATATCACAAAGGTACACAACGATTACTCTGGAGTGGTAAAAATGGTTGTCCCATGTCAATTTCTTTGAAATTAAAGAGGATGGAAGAATATAATTTGGGTCTTGAGAGAGAGACTGAACAGTGAAAGTTTGATGCTGGTAGACCATGTATAGAGGAAGTATGATCTCCTGGTTCTGCTGAACTTTTTAACAGCTGGTGATACTATCTATCTATCTATCTATCTATCTATCTATCTATCTATCTATCTATCGTGATTTTATATATTTATATATATATAGCACTTAGATTTTAAGGCATATGTTGCAGTGGTTCTTCTCTCAAGTAGGTAGTTCCAGTCAGTAAGGGAAAGATCATATCCCCAGGGCGCTCCAACATGAAGAATTATGAAGCGTGGATTTTCAATATATACTATTGACAGTACATTATCTTTACTATTCAATATTTATATGAAGCTATTGGGAAAAATTATCCACCAGTACCTGTCTATGGAGATTCTCAGTCATCCAGCCAAAGGTGCTTTTTCAAAAGGCAACTGGGCTTTCTTTATTTTGCCTTGAAGACATTTTGCTTCTAATCCAAGATTCTTTAGAACTGAAGGTTCTTGGATGAGAAGTCAAACATCTTCAAGGAAAAACAAAGCCCAGTTGCCTTTGACGATAAAACTATACAGCACTTAGAACTGTGTTATCCCTGCATTGAAATGGTTTTGTAAATGAAATGGATGTGTGATTTCACTGTTCCCAGTCCTAAGAGGAGGTGGCAGTCATAATGATATTGTTGTATACTATTTTATTATATTTGTGTCTTACAAATGTAATTAACCATTACAAATTATTAGAAATGGGAATTGTTTACATAGCGAAGTGGCATAAAGCACAAACAAATCAATGTTTGCGTCACTTCATGTTAGAATACTTTAGTTAAAAAACAGTGAAAAAGAATCTATATATTACATACATTAATAGCATGAACACATTTATAAAACTTTAAAGGGCCCAACCATAATGCTATCATTAGTTATTTTTTTCAAAAACATACCTGAGTTGAATTTTTGTCTACATAAATGTGGACAACACCTCCATGCTTGTTACATTCTTCAATCACATCATCTTTAATTTCTGTATCCCAGCCAGCTTCTTCTTCACTGCAGAGTAAGTTAAGAAGACAATAAACTTATGTCTTTATACCAAATAGAGAAAATTTTAGAAAACTACATCAGGTTAACTTACGTTTGAGGGTTAAACATATTGGACAGCTGAAAGCATTGTGTTGCAAGTGGTTGTACAGAAGCAGCTGCAGCTAAGACTGAAAAAGAAAACATAGCATGACTTTTCGGTCATTTTTATTTTGGTTTACGTATCAGCTTTAAATATATATATTATATTATACAATATAATTCTGTCATGAAATGCAATTCCTCACAAGCAAAGATTTTAAATCTGAATCCACAAAACTAACCCTAATCAGTGACTAATCAGTGAAGACATTGCCTCCAAAAGGAGCCCTTCCAACATACTGCTAAAAGAATGACTAGACAATTATAAGATCAACATTTAGCCCCATTTCTGTGTATCAACTTGGCAACTAAAACTAGCCAATAAATTCAATTACAAGTAGGATCTGAAAGAACAAAATTTCACAGCCATAAAGGGTAAATGCAGCAGTGGACAGGAGTTCATTATGTGACATAAATCGCAATGTTTTCAAATGCTTTCTCTGCAAGCACAGATGACTAACTTACTTTAGATTTAGGATGTTTGTTACCAAAAGGGAAAGCATAATTTTTCCACATTCTGCTTTGTATTTCAGCAAAGCTGGAAATTATGTTAGCTCTATTCTGACTAGCCTCGGAGAGTCAATCTGTTATGTAAAGTTTGGATCAGATACTTGATGGTGGATGTTATCTAGTTCAATTGATCTATTGATAGCTCCTTTAAGTGCCAAGTTTCCAGGAATTCTTTAGCACTTCTGCTCTCTTTGTATGGTTACTTGCATTTTCCCAGTTAGATGTATATGGATCATTTTGAGGGAATGGGTGACCGATGGGTAGTCCATAAAACAAATTGATTTCTTTCCATAATTAGAGATGGCTTTTACTAACATAGGAAGCTTTTTCAAAAATCCAGTGAGGATCATGGCCAATTCAAAAATTTTACTTAAATGAATGAATTATAACTCTGCAGGCTCACTGAGTACTATATTAAACGTTTATACAGCAAAAAGTACCAGTATTAATATAAATTGCAGAATTACAGAATCTACTAAAAGTCCCTTACTCAATATCAAATCTGGGGAAGGGACAAGTATACCCCAGATTCTGCAGTTAGAACTGAAACAGGCCTGCCTATCCTATATAAAGTTGTTCTATAATTAAAGATTGAAATTGTTGTTGGAGGATTTTTTCTAATCTGGCAAATTATCCAAAGTAATACTTTAGAGAAACAGACTAATATGTCACATACAGTTGCAAGAAAAAGTATGTGAACCCCTTGGGATTACGTGGAGTTTTGCATAAATTGGTCATAAAATGTGCTCTGAACTTCATCTAAGTCACATCAATAGAAAAACACAGTCTGCTTAAAATAATACTACACAAACATTAGATGTTGCCATGGTTTAATGGAACATAACATGTAAACATTCACAGTGCAGGGAGGAAAAAGTATGTGAACCTTTGGACTTAATAACTGGTTGACCCTCCTTTGGCAGCAATAACCTCAACCAAACGTTTCCTGTAGTTGCAGATCAGACCTGCACAACGATCTGGAGTAATTTTGGACCACTCCTCTTTACCAAACTGTTTCAGTGTAGCAATATTCTTGGGATGTCTGGTGTGAATCGCTCTCTTAAGGTCATGCCACAGCATTTCAATCGGGTTGAGGTCAGGACTCTGACTGGGCCACTCCAGAAGGCGTATTCTGTGCTGTTGAAGCCATCTTTTTGTTGAATTACTTGTATGCTTTGGGTCATTGGCCTGTTGCATCACCCATCCTCTGCGGAGCTTCAGTTGGCGGACAGATGGCCGTACGTTTTCCTGCAAAATGTCTTGATAAACTGTGGAATTCATTTTCCCACCAATGACAACAATCCCTCCAGGCCCTGAGGCAGCAAAGCAGCCCCAAACCATGATGCTCCCTCCGCCATGTTTTACAGTGGGGATGAGGTTTTGATGTTGGTGTGCTGTGCCTTTTTTTCTCCACACATAGTGTTGTGTGTTCAACTCAATTTTGGTTTCATCTGTCCACAGTATATTTTGCCAGTAGTGCTGTGGAACATCCAGGTGCTCTTTTGCAAACTTCAAACGTGCTGCAATATTTTTTTTGGACAGCAATGGCTTCCTCCGTGGTGTCCTCCCATGTACTCCATTCTTGTTTAATGTTTTCCTTATTGTAGATGTGTCAACAAAAATGTTAGCGTGTGCCAGAGATTTCTGTAGGTCTTTAGCTGACACTCTAGGATTCTTCTTTACCTCATGAAGCATTCTGCGCTGTGCTCTTTGCAGTCATTTTTACAGGACGACCACGCCTAGGGAGAGTAGCAACAGTGCTAAACTTTCTCCATTTGTAGACAGTCTGTCTTACCGTGGATACATGAACATCAAGGCTTTTGGAGATACTTTTGTAACCCTTTCCAGCTTCATGCAAGTCAACAATTCTTGATCGTAGGTCTTCTGAGAGCTCTTTTCTGCGAGGCATGGTTCACATCAGACAGTGCTTCTTGAAACCAGTAAACCCAAAACAGGTGTGTGTTTTTAAAGGGCAGGACAGCTGTCAGCAACACATCCAATATCATCACACTGATTGGAGTCAAGGTTGGCTCACTCCTGGCTCCAATTAGCTCTTGGAGAAGTCATTAGGCTGGGGGCTCACATACTTTTTCCTCCCTGCACTGTGAATGTTTACATGTTATGTTCCATTAAACCATGGCAACATCTAATGTTTGTGTAGTATTATTTTAAGCAGATTGTGTTTTTCTATTGTTTTGACTTAGATGAAGTTCAGAGGACATTTTATGACCAATTCATGCAAAACTCCACGTAATCCCAAGGGGTTCACATACTTTTTCTTGCAACTGTATACTGGAATGTTATTGTGGTGATCCACGGGCTGTCTTACAAATGTTTGGTTTTCCTGAATATATCAAAGTGAGTGGGCCAATAGGAGGAGGAAGACATGTTGGATATATTTTCCATTTTGAATTATTTGTAAAAATTATGAAGGCAAGACACAAATAATTATAAATAAATAACACTCTTGTATCTGTAACCTTTAACTGGCAAAATGGTAGGATAAATGCTTTCTTCTTTCCTTATCCAATACAAGCAAGAGAATGTTTGAAATTCTGAGATTACTTCTAATAAATGGCAAGCAAGCTAATGGAATTGTGGGTGACCAGTTCTTAAATGGTGTACAATATTCAAATTAAATCTCACCTTCACTTTGCTGAGAAAGTCTTGTCTGTAAATCTGAAAAAGAAAATTGGAAAATTTTAATACTATTACATCTTGAGAAGAGACTTCAATAGAAAATGTTATGCACAGGTAGTCTTCTGGTTATGGCCATTCAGTGACAATTCAAACTTAAATGGTGCTGAACAAGTAGTATTCACAACCAGTCCTTGGAGTTCTGGCCATTGCAGTATCCCTATGGTCATGTGATTGTGATCCAGGCATAATGCCCGGCTCACATGCCAGTCACACAATCACAATTTCTGACATCCCCTGCTAGCTTCCCACAAGCAAAGTCAATGGGAAAGTAGGCAGGGGAAAATGGGCAGGAAGTCATGGTGACATGAAGTCTTTAATTAACAATTGTGCAGTCCTAGCTTAATGACAGCAACTATAACTGCTGTTGCTAAGCAGTACAATCACAGGACATCCCGTTTTACAATTGCATCACTTAGTGACAGCAATTCCAGTCCCAATTGTTGTCCCAGCCTGAAGTAACTTTTTCATTATATAAATGCATGATGTATATCTTGGCAAAAGGAAAACGTTTTAGAAAAGGAATGCCTGCTTACAAGAAAAAGCATGCAAACTGTTATTTCAAGTTAGATTTTTCTAGAATAACATCCACATAACAATATAAAAATTAATTTTACCTGCTACAGCACTAAATGCTAATGATCCACTCATTTGCAGTGCTTGCTGGGCAGCTGGAGGAATCTGCAAACCAGTACCTGGAATAAAAAAAACCCCATTGAATCCTTTTTGGGATCTACTTTTAACTAGGACATGCCTTTTATAAAGTTTTGAGAATAAATGTGATTGTGTTTAAATCCACTATGAAAATCATAAAAACCTCTTCATTTTATTGAAATACTGAAAAATATGACACAATGTCAGATACTGAAAGAAAGAAGCAAGAATGACACGCAAACTAATGAAGCTTTAGGGTTAGGAAGAAGCACATAGTACATTTATTAATTCACTTACCCTCAGCAAGCCTTGCCATCAACTGAAGACGACCAGTTGTTCCCAAATCAATTCCAGTCCTTTCCAATTCATCATTATCCAAAAATGAACTGGCACTGGATGCATCTGTACGTTCAGTCACATGTCCTACTTTCATTGGCCTACCTGCCAGTTCAAATCCATTTAATTGTTCCAAGGCCTTTTTAGCACATTCTGAGTCTGAAAACTGAAATATATAATTATCATTTGAAGCAACTGTTAAAACACGTTGCCTACATTGAATTTAGACACAAAACTAATACAGGTGGCTTAAAGAACAGACAAGGGTATAAAAAGGGTGAAGAGACAAAAACATTTGTCTGTTCACGAATTTATATCGTCTCTGCTTGACCACAGTTGGGACTAAGCAATGAGGTTGTTAAGCTAGATATTATATGTCTGTGACTTTTGATTTCATTGCTGGCTTCTCCATTAACTCTGTGTGTTGGATACCGACTGTAAAGTGTGCAAATTGTGATCACAATCATGGGGATGCTACAATAGCTAAGTGCAAGGAATGTTCATAACTTTTCTTTTTCAGTGCCATCCATCATAATTTTCAACAGTAGCTAAACAGAGCAGTTATTAAGTGAGAACTTATTAAGCTAATATTTTCATGCTGTTGTGCTTCCAAAGGGCTAAAAGTAGCATGCAGAAAAAAAGATTGAAAACATGGGAGAGATCTTGTAGAATATCCTAGTTTAATCACAATATCAATTTTAAAAAATTGATGGGAGACAAGATAGATTTCTATTCAAGAACATATGCTGTCTCCATTTAAAACACAATGGGCTACATACATATTATACAATATAAAATATACTTCTTTTATGCATTGAAATTATTTCCTAGTTATGATTGATAATAGATGGACTATCGTTGTAACCAAGAGTTAATTTATTGTCTCCTAGCCCATATATGTCAACTATATAAACTTACAGTAATAAATCCATATCCTTTGGACCTCCCAGTTTCACTGTCCATCATTAGCTGAATGCTTTCAATCTGAAAAAGATCAAGATTACCCATTAGTATTAATATATAATACTACATTAATATATATTAATGTAGGGTAAAAGTTAAACAGTTTTTAAAAGGTTCAAATACTGATGAACAGCCAGGGAAAATACCTGCTACCTCCTCCAATATTGCCTTTTATTCTTCCTAATACATTCCAGGAATAGTAAAAGATGTAGTAACTGTTTATTTGGAGCCATTTTAGATTTTTTGAATTCCAATCAGCTATAGCTGGGGTCCCCAACCCCATTATATTAATTACATTAATTGTACATATGAACACCCAATTTAGTGTGCTTTTAAACGTACATGTACAGTATAATTCCAGATTTAATAAGAAAAAGTTAAATTTTCTATTTTCACTTATTAAGCTTACACCTATCATTATTTCAGCTTTATATCTCTTTGAGTTGTTCTGATGCTAAAATTCTGTTAATCATATAAAATCATATTTGTTCTGTTTGGGACTATTTTGAAGATGTTTCAGAAACTGCAGCTAACACAGAGCACAGCAGTCCGATTACTAATTTTGGTGACTACTAGCACTGAGGACTGAGACTGAGAACACTAGCACTGTAATTGCTCAACTGGTAACCAAATGGGCTTCTGGGCCTAACCTCAAGTACCATATTTTTCAGAGTATAAGACATTCCAGAGTATAAGACGTACATTAGTTTTTGGGGAAGAAAACAAGGGGAAAAAAATCTGCCTCTGCCTACCCAGCATCCATCGGTATTCATCTGGCTAGCGTCCTTGCAGCAAACAGCAAACAGCCTGGTTAGCTTCAGCATGTTATCGCACCCTGATTTAGCACGAACAGCTAATAGGCAATTGGATTGGCCTCCTGGAATAGTGCTAATCAGCTGTTCCAGCCGGCGGGGATCGCCAGAGCCCATCGCCGCCTCCACGCGGGGTGTGCAGAAGCCAAAAATGTGCTGCATGGAGCCACCTATGTGCTATGGCAATTCCCGCAGCCTGGAACAAGTCTAAAACGGAGCATGTGAAGGCCAAAAACACAATGCGCAGAGGCCGAAAATGGGCAAAGGGTGGGGGGCTGGCGGGTGGCGGGGCTTCAGCAATATTCGATGTATAAGACGCACCACAATTTTCACTCACTTTTGGGTGGGGAAGTGTGTCTTATACTCTGAAAAGTACAGTACCTGTAATCACTTTTAAAATCCTACATACTGGGATATATCAAGGAACTTCCTTTCCATGTTCAGTTCAAACAATAAGGGAAGACAGGTTCTCTACATGTACTTGGACAAGAAAAGCCCATGATTTATAAACACATTCCCTCTTGCATAGAACATTCAATCCCTATTCTCCTATTGTATTTCAATATTGAGCCCTAAACTGTCTTGGCTCTATAATGAATTTGTATTACATTAAAAATTATGATATTATAAGAGGATTTTTAAGCACAAAGATACTCATTTATGTTGAATACTAAGCAGAGATACTGTATTGAAAAAACATCTTACCCGGCCAAATGGTTCGAAGATTCCACGAAGCATATCTTCAGTTATATTGAAATGTAATGAGCCTACATAGAGTCTCATGGGGCCTGCACTTCCCTTTTGTAAATTATTAGCCATTGCTGCTGCTCTGTTTTTCTCTGCCTAAAAAAATTATATACACAGGAAACACTATAGATTACTATATACAGTAGTATAAACTATGTTGCACTCTACCAGGAAACATTTCTATCTATGTGCAAAATCCAAATCTTTCTCTGTTATATAAGCTATATAAATTAGAGAACAAAAACATTTATATTTGAGAGCTATCTGAAAACTAACACAGCTGATACTTTTATTTTACTTTCAAGATTTTGTTCTATTTTCTGCTTAAATTTTTTGTTATATAAACAGTCTTATTATTTGTTTGGCATCAAAAGTTAAAGAAAATCATGAAAACTAACTGAAAAGTACTATCTTTGTCTTTCATATTGAGAAGTTACGCAGGGTAATGTCTACTGCAAAATTAACCTAAACCCAATTTCAGGATAATACATAGTTCCTAGAATTTTCCAGCAACCTTTGAATCCTTACTTCCTCCAGATAAAAAAATTGCTACTGATCTATTAATGTTATCTTCAAAATAAGACAGGTTCCTCATCTCTTCTAAAGAGACTGGAAACCACCTGTCCTTTCATAATCTTATTTCTCACAAAATGCAGAATGTTAAGCCAGGTCTACTGGATATAATCAGCCAAGATGGAAAAGGATTAAGAATTATCAGTGACATCTCCACCAATTTGCAAGTATGGTGTAATCTAGGATCTCATAAACTATTTCTATCAGTCATAACAGGCAGCTGGGGTTTCAATTAAGGTTTTGAATAATCATGAATATAATACTGATAGTTTTAATAATGTTAACTATATAGAAATAACACATTAAGCAATATGGTTAATGAGGAATCATTTAGTCTTATCAGATCAAGCCTTATCTATTAGCACTAAGAAAAAAATTCAAGTCAAACTTACCTGAGATGCTTGTACAATAATTGGCACTCCCAACACTCGCTGTCCAGTTAATCCAATGGCCAAAGGAACTGAGCTGACATCAACGAATTCTACGTAAGCAATTCCTTTTGAACGTCTTGAATTTCTATCTGATATCATGCGTACATCACGGACCTAGAAAAAAAATTGAAGTATTGTTTTATTTGGTTGAAAGCTTTAATGGATTTAATATGTATATACCACTATAAAATCAAACCACTACCTGAAAATTTTCATATCTGATACAGGATTACTTAGTTTTCTGAGATTCCATCCATATAAGAAAACATCTATTTTGCATTGTATATGCACACCAGGAAGCTTCCAAGAGTACACAATATATATTGTATGCATATACATTACATTACATTAATACATTACATTAATACATTACAATACATTACATTACAATAATATTGTTAACAGTTTAACACTTTTAAATAAGTGGCTTAACACTTTTAAATGTTTTTAACTGGTTTGTCATTGTTTTTTAGTTACGGGGCCAAATTTATATATATCTTTTTAATAGTATTTTAATGTTTGTAGTTTATGTTTTTATTTGGCTGTACACCGCCCTGAGTCCTCAGGGAGAAGGGTGGTATATAAATTTGATATAAATTTAAAAAAAATCATACAAACTAGTTTATATATAAATTAAGTAAATTAAGTATCTTGATACATAGACGACTTTGTAATTTTCTCAGGAGGCCGGCACTGGATCCCACTGTTCTGGACAACTTTTGTCCAGTTTTCCATCTTCTCTTTTTTTGGGAAGGATTCAAGCCCAGATATGGGACAGAGCTCTGGCAAGAGCTGGCAAGAGCAGTATGAGGGTAGTACATCCATTGAAGCTCTTCTTGACCACTTAGCTGCCTTTGATACCATCAACCATGGTATCCCCTTTGGGGTAGGTTTTGGTGTTGGGAGTTGGTGAATTTTGTGGAGAGGCTTTGAGAAGCTGGGTGGGGAGCAACAGGCTTCAACTGAAACCTGGTAAACAGACTGGCTATGGGTAGGTAGTTCCTCTGTACCTGGGGGTTTGCCATCTTTAGGTTTGCAGAGGATAACACTGCTCTAGACAAACCCAGTACCTAATCAGGGGGGGGGGGGGGGTGTCTTCCTGGACTTATGACTTCTGCTCAAGGAGCATGTAGCTGTCATGTCTAGGAGGGCCTATGCTCAACTTCAAGGTTGTACACCGACTATGCACTTTCCTAGACTGAAAAGCTAGTCTTTCAGTCACTCATGCCCCTACTCACTTCCCAGATGGATAAGTATAATGTGCTGTATATGGGGCTACCCTTGAAGAGTATTCAGGCGCTGCAACTGGTGCAAAATGCAGCAACATGAGCAGTTTTGGGTGCCCCTAGAATGGCACATGTAAATGAGCTGCACTGAATGCTAATTTTCTTATGGGTTCAATCCAAGGTATTAGTTATCACCTTTAAAGTCCTTCAAGGTATGGGACCAGAATACCTGAGAAACCGTCTCCTCCCTCCCAAGCAGGGAAGGCATGCTGTATATCCTGTCACTCAAGGAGTTTCAACTAATGGGATCTAGGAAAAGGACTTCTCATCTGTCTACCCTATGGAACATCCTACTCCAAAGGCGAGCTGAGCCTCTACTCTTCTAGTTTTCTAGAAGAATGTTAAGACCTGGCTTTCCAATTAGCATGGTGTCAGGCACGAAATATCAAGACCACAAATAAATTTCCAATTAAATTGATTTATTGCTAATGATGTCCATGCACAGGAATCTATGGTTAGCACTATCTCGGTGCTAGATAAACGCCAACAGCATTCAGGAAAAGATGGAGTTAGTTGATTTATGGCTACACAGACACTTTAGGGTGATTCTTCTTTTGACTGCCATCAGTTTCTGCCGTTCCTTCTCCTACACATAGATATAGGATGCAGTCCTGGGGATGGCTGGTGGTCCAAAGACTCTTCTGCTGTCTTATTAATCTCCTAATAATCTTTGAATTTTTAACCTAATTTATCTTCATTTGCACATTTTAACCCATTTTAACTGTTTTTAAACTATGCTTTCATTCATGTATTAATATGGTTTTATTATGCTATTGTAAATTGCCCAGAATCACTTAGGTGAGATGGATGATGTAGAAATTTAATAATAAATAAAATAAATATCTCAGAACAACCCGGAAGGCATTAAAAGAACTGTCAAGAGTTCTTCATATCACACCTTTCCTACAGTAGAGAAAAATTCTTCCAGGTCTCTTGGCCTAATTCTCGCCGCAAGCTGCATGCAGAATACTGTTCGAGCATCCCGTTCCTCTGGAGTAAGATTATCAATAGGCTCTCTGAAAAACAGTAATTATTATTGATATTATTGTATCAATATAAACACATTTGAACAAGCTAGATTTGACCAGATTTGATTTTTACATTGTTAAGATCACTTGTATTCAAACACAGATAAAGATTCATTAAACTTTCAGAATCAGGAACATCATTTCAGTCTCCACTGTTTTTTCTCTGAGCAATATATTTCCTGAGCATAATTATCTCCCTTGTATTTTCACATGGACTATATTGCAAATGAAGTGAAAAGGACAGAGCTTTCCTGGACATCTTCCTATTTTAGCTTCACTTGAATGCTTTTAACTCTTGCACTGGAACATGGTGATAGCCAATGCTAAGCTCTCATGCCTTCTCTGTTGCAGAATCTGCCTCTGGAATAGCATTTCCCTGGAGGTTTGACTTGCCCTGATCCTACCATCTTAAGACTCTGAACCCCTAGCTTTCCCCAGATATTAATTTAGGGAACTATGTGTTCTCTGTGGGAAATGTATTAACATGCTGGTTAATTAGCTCATTTTGCTTTCATTGTATTGGATATGCTTTAAACTTTAAACACTGCTCAGTTGACAAGTGACCTATACATTTAATAAATAAATATTCAACATGCAAAATATGCATATGAAAAGACAAATAAGAGTATGGAACAAGGAACTAGATATAACAAGAAATTTTGGCTATCTTTAACCCAAACACCTGTGACTAAGGGATACCTGCAGTTTCAATGGATATACAGTGTGCAAGTTCTCCCACTTAAAAAGTTGAGAGAGGCCTGTAATTGACATCATAGGTAGACCTCAACTATGAGAGACAAAATGAGAAAACAAATCCAGACAATCACATTGTCTGATTTGGAAAGAATTTATTTGCAAATTATGGTAGAAAATAAGTATTTGGTCAATATCAAAAGTTCATCTCAATACTTTGTTATATATCCTTTTTTGGCAATGACAGAGGTCAAACGTTTTCTGTAAATCATCACAAGGTCGGCACACACTGTTGCTGGTATGTTGGCCCATTCCTCCATGCTTTGGGGCGGTTGCTGGGCAACACGGACTTTCAACTCTCTCCGAAGGTTTTCTATGGGATTGAGATCTGGAGACTGGCTAGGCCACTCCAGGACTTTGAAATGCTTCTTACGAAGCCACTCCTTCGTTGCCCGGGCAGTATGTTTGGGATCATTGTCATGCTGAAAGACCCAGCCATGTTTCATCTTCAATGCCCTTGCTGATGGAAGGAGGTTTGCACTCAAAATCTCACGATACATGGCCCCATTCATTCTTTCCTGTACACGGATCAGTCGTCCTGGTCCCTTTGCAGAGAAACAGCCCCAAAGCATGATGTTGCCACCCCCATGCTTCACAGTAGGTATGGTGTTCTTTGGATGCAACTCGGCATTCTCTCTCCTCCAAACACGAGTTGTGTTTCTACCAAAGAGTTCTACTTTGGTTTCATCTGACCATATGACATTCTCCCAGTCCTCTTCTGGATCATCCAAATGCTCTCTAGCAAACTTCAGACGGGCCCGGACATGTACTGGCTTAAGAAGGGGGACACGTCTGGCACTGCAGGATCTGAGTCCCTGGCAGCGTAGTGTGTTACTGATGGTAGCCTTTGTTACGTTGGTCCCAGTCTCTGCAGGTCATTCACTAGGTCCCCCCGTGTGGTTCTGGGATTTTTGCTCACCGTTCTTGTGATCATTTTGACCCCACGGGGTGAGATTTTGCGTGAAGCCCCAGATCGAGGGAGATTATCAGTGGTCTTGTATGTCTTCCATTTTCTAATTATCGCTCCCACAGTTGATTTCTTCACACCAAGCTGCTTGCCTATTGCAGATTCAGTCTTCCCAGCCTGCTGCAGGTCTACAATTTTGTTTCTGGTGTCCTTCGACAGCTCTTTGGTCTTCACCATAGTGGAGTTTGGAGTGTGACTGTTTGAGGTTGTGGACAGGTGTCTTTTATACTGGTAACAAGTTCAAACAGGTGCCATTAATACAGGTAATGAGTGGAGGACAGAGGAGCCTCTTAAAGAAGAAGTTATAGGTCTGTGAGAGTCAGAAATCTTGCTTGTTTGTAGGTGACCAAATACTTATTTTCCACCATAATTTGCAAATAAATTCTTTCCAAATCAGACAATGTGATTGTCTGGATTTGTTTTCTCATTTTGTCTCTCATAGTTGACGTCTACTATGATGTCAATTACAGGCCTCTCTCATCTTTTTAAGTGAGAGAACTTGCAAAATTGGTGGCTGACTAAATACTTTTTTGCCCCACTGTATACTTTAAGTATAGGCACCTCACCTATTTACAACATTATAAAAATATTTTTAACTTCAATGTACTTTAATTGATCTCCCATCCTCAGAAAGAGTTTTCTAACTTGCTTTTCTGAAATATATACATATATGCATGGTAGCAACACCAGTCCAGAAGAATTCCACTGCCAATTATCTCTACACTCACACAGTATGTTTTCTAGCACACTGTCTTTATAAACATAAATCCACATACATTGCAAGAGCAGCCAATCACACAGAACAGAATTTTTTAATGACAAATCAGTGTAGAATATAAATGTGTAGAACAGTCAATATGTTATGGAAATTTCAACATTAAGCAAGATTCAAATCCCTACCTTACAGGGCTCTTGTCTTTTCTGAAAGGACTTTTGCTCCTAGATCGACGTCTGCTATAAAAAAAAAAACATGCACGGAATTATGAAGGGAATAAATATCAATATAAACCATTAAATCCATCATTAAAGAAAGTAAGACAAAACCTTATTTTCATGCTGTGTGGCAAGCCAATTTTTCCTCTCATGGCACTATTGAACTTGGGACCAGAACTAGGATTAAAGAAGAAAACAGTGTTATATACAGCCTTTATCATTCTGTTTGACATTTACCATTAAGAGATATATTCTTATTAATATCATAACCACTACACTGAATGGTTGTGAAATAAAACTGTCATGCTGATTTAATTATATTACAACTGAAGTTTCTAAAATTCTCAAGCTAAAAGTTTTACTATTTATTTACTCTTAAAGAAACCTAAAACAATAATTTCACACAACATACTAGGGGCTTCTGTAACGGCCTCTGAATCGACGTTCTCTGCTTCTTGAACGGCTGCGTCTCCGTTCTTTACTTCTACTGCGCTTTCTTTCTCGACTCTTGCTTTTCTTTCTTTCACGTTCACGGCTTCGTTTGCGGTCCTTGCTTCGGCTTCTCTTCCTATCATGACTACGACTTCTGCTCTTGCTTTTTTTCCTCCTGAACAGGACAGATTTAAAAAAATCAGTTATGTTTTCAAAGAGGAAAAACATTACTAACATTAGGCCATATGAAATAAGATTAGGTGACTTGAAAAATATGTCAATTTTAAATGAATATTACACAATATTTTAATGAATATAATAGCAATCAATTATACAACTACCTGTAAATTTCACAATTAAACATATTTAAGGTTAAAAGCAAAACCATTTAGGTGAAAAATGTATTTCAAACCAAGTGAATATATTGCTGCTTTTATCTTTACATTTCTATTTCCTTAAATTTTCTGTCACAAAAGAGTTTTTTAAAAATTGCAAATAATTTTACCTACCAAGTTCCTTTCTAGGAAATTCAGCTTCATAACTGTATCTGCATTGTTCATTTAATGACACTGGTTTTTCACTCTACTGCCTGTGTATTGTTAGATATGCTCCAAATGGCCACTGGAGCCAGTGGCTTGGATCCAAAGGAGCCCTTCCACTAGAGGAAAGCCTCTTCCACACACAGAAGGGCTGTTTCCAACCTAGCAGAAGAGCATTACGTGAGAAATGCGAACCAAAATTGAGGTAAGATATTTGATTTATATACTTTAGATCTCCTTATACCCACAAATTCATTCAATAGCTTAGCCTCATATTCAGTGTCCTCACATTAGAAATACCTTCCCATATATTTGCTTTAATGGACTGGATATTTTTTTCCATGAAGAATTAATCAAACACCACTAATGTTTCTTTGGCTCATAATTATCTAGATCCAAATCAGGTTTTTTAACTCCTATCGTTAAGTATGTGTTATATAAATGCATCATTTTACTAACAAATATTGGTTAATTAGAATACCCGCAAATACTGCTAAATTTAACTTTATTAATACAAACTTCAATATGAATGAAAATTGTATGTTTTATAAGCATCTCAATGGTGATGACATAGATACTAATGGAACAGCTTGCCTTCAGAAGCTGGGGCTGCTGCATCAATGGAGGATTTTAAGAAGAGACTGGACAGCCACTTGTCTGCAATGGTAGAGGGTATTCTGCTTGTGCAAGAGAAATTGGGTTGGACTACAAGACTCCAAAGTCTCTTCCAACTCTGTTATGTGTTAAATCCATTTTTTAACATAAGTCCTACAAGTCTGACCAAGATGCAAAACAGCACAATTCTAATGTAAATTCTAGATATACTAATGTACTAGATATACTAATGTAATTTAATAGTTCCTATAATCTAAATATTCTGTTTTCAGTAGAATAAATCTCCCAGTGAACACAAAAATATATTTCCAATTCCAACAGATACAGCAGGGAAGATTAAAAAATAACTAACAATACAACCATGATATAGGCTCAACCACATAGCTGGGATCTAAGGCTCAATAATAAAATCGGTTTTCAAAGTTTTGAACATACAGCAAAATCAGGGCAAATCTAATCTCTTGGGCAGGGATTGGCAATTAATTTTTCCTGAGGGTCCATGTAGAAATTTGGAGTGTTATGGAGGGCCAAATCAATAGTCTGAACTTAATTCTGCTGGAGGCACCCACATGTTGACGGAGGAGGGAGCGCAGAGCCTTGCCTCACCTTGGCTGCTGCTCTTCTGCCATAGAAGCAAAGAAGTTCTTTCTCTCACCACCTGACTAAATGGTCAGCTGGTGAGCGCACTTGGCTTCTTTTCTGTCCACTGCGGCATGCCTGTTTAAAATTTATTTTTTAATTTACAACTGATGCAACTGGACAGAGGCAGCCAAAGGGCTGGTTGTGGCCCAAGGGCCATAAAATGCCCAGGTCTGCTCTGGGAGAATAGCATCCCTCTCCTGTGAGATCTAAAAGAAGAGTAAATACAACAGTGAAGAGCCACTTCCACAAGTAACCTAGTTGCAAGCCTTTATAGGTAACTACTAGAACCTTCAATTGAAGTCAGAGGCATACTGGCAATCAATGCAGGCTTGCAGAGCACATGCTGAATAAGAAGCACCTTTAATTGCCCAAACTGCTGTATTTTGCATCAGCTGAACCTTCCAAATGCTCTTCAAGGACAGCCCCATTTAAAGTTCTTTGCACTAGTCCAATAGGGAGGTGACCAAGACATGAGGGACTGTGAGTAGAGCCTCCTGGCTGAGGAATGGATGCTATGCAAGCTATGCAAAGGTTCTCCTAGTCATGGCTGTCACATTTTCTTTGAACTGGAGGAGGACCCCCAATTGTCCACAGGTTTCGCCTGAGGTAGCGCAACTCCATCCAGAACAAAAGATGGAAAGTCTCCCAAACTAACAGAGGGACCCACTCTATCTCCCTAAGTCTGAGGTGAAGCCTGTATTTTCCCATCCAGATCAAATAGAGTTTGGCCAAATAAACGATGAATTCTGTTCTAGGTCAAACAATTTAGAGCAAAAGTGCAAACAAAAAATAGCACTTCATCTTATTTTAGTGCTTTAAAACAGAGTCCCCAACCCCCAGAAAGTCCATGGACCAACATCAGTCCGTGAAATGCCAGAAACCAGTCCACGCAAACAAGCGAAGTCCCATCCACGGGATGCAGGCAGCACACAAAACCACACCCCCTCCATTCCGCGGAAAAACCTCTCTCCAAGAAACCAGTCCCTGGTGCCCAAAAGGTTGGGGACCACTGCTTTAAAATGTTTATACAAGTAGCCCAAAACTTACAAGAGTTCATTTAGTGACTGTTCAAAGCTACAACAGCCCTGAAAAAAATGACTTATGACCATTTGTCACACTTATGACAGTTGCAGCATCCCCATGGTCACATGATCAAAATTTGAATGTTTGGCAACTGGTTCATATTTATGATAGTTGTATAGTGTCCTGAGGTTATGTGATCATCTTTTGTAACTTTCTGACAAGCAAAGTGCAGAAAGTGCAGTTAAGTAAAGACAGATTCACTTAACCGTGTTACTAACTTAACAATTGCAATGATTCACTGAACTGTGGCTAAAAATGGGGCAAAACTCACTTAACTAATGAAGTATTTTCAACCCCATGAAAAAGCTTCTACACAAGACACGGAGAACCCAAGTCCCATGCTGTGGCCCTAAAGCTTCCTGTGACTGATTAAAACTAACAGCTATGTTTTTGAACATTGTGAAACAGATATATCACAATTTAAAAGTAAAAATCATGAAAACACTGTACAAGATCCCTGTTGATTACATATTGTCATGGGCTCATACCCTGTTTTCCCCAAAATAAAGACATCCCCTAATTATAAGCCCTATCTGGTTTTTGAGCGCATGGCAATAAGGCCAAGCGCTTATTTCAGGGTTCAAAAAAACATAAGACAGGGTCTTATTTTCGGGGAAACACGGTAGTTACTCTGTTGTCTTCAACTATTTTCAAAAATGATATAGTTCCAAACTTTGGGGATTATTATATTTGGAATTTTGAGATATATAAGCACTACTGCAATTGCCATGAAAGGTGTACTCAATCACAACCCATAATTAATGATGATAAAGCACCAACTTGTATTAATCTACTACTTCATGTGGACTGTGCAGGGTCCATAAGAACTTTGACTTACAATGATAGTACTGGAACTTCCATCACTAACCAATTCATTTAGTGCACTGTGCCCGATTTTACCTGTTGCTATTTCATTCCATAGGGCAGGAAAAGAATTGTCTTGTACAATACTGGTTTTATAGAAAGTGGCTCAATCACCCCTCTCCCTTTGTTTCACAGTGCCATTTTACAAGAAAAGCTACTTTTTAATTTTGTGTTGCTTAGCCTAAATGAGAGCTATTTTCTGCAATAGAAAGCCTTCATCCAAATACCTATGTTTGACTTCGAGAAAGTGAAATAATTAATCATAATGGAGAAGCCAAGCAAAACTAATATCCTGCCAGATGGCAAAAAAAATATTTAAGTATTTTAGCCTGCAGTGTCACCAGTTGTGAACTATATATTCTCTACCAAAGGTTCTGGGTCTTTATATAATTTATAACATGTACATTCATTGTTTAAACAGGTTTCTATAGGATTTTTTTTTCTAATGAGGAAGAACTTAAAGTTCTTCCTCAAGTTGACACAAAGTAAGTAGTAATTTTTCTTCTTCATAATTGGTCCTAAGAAAACAGTAGATAGATAGATAGATAGATAGATAGATAGATAGATAGATAGATAGATTACAAAAACAATGGCTCCTAGTCTTTTGAGGCCAATGAGCAGACATGTCATTTTGATGTTCACAGATGGATGCTACAATGGGTGTAACTTGCCACCTTTATCAGAAAGCAAACTGTGTGTTGCTTACTACCATTCTCTGTACTTCTTTGCAAATACTGCCAACTCTAATAATATTTTTCTCTTTTTTGGGTAGGTAGGCAAAGTATTGATTACAGCTACCAATTCCTTTTTATTTCTAGAAAGCATGTGGAGACTACTTAGTATTCGAGGTCGGCTTGGAAACAAAAAACATTTTGGAGGCTGATGCTTTATAGCCATGACGATGAACCTATGGCATATGTGCCAGAGGTGGCACGCAGCGCCCTGATGGCACGCAAGCCGTTGCCCCAATTCAGTTCCGCCGCACATGCGTGCTTGTCTCCTGCCAGCTAGCTGGTCTTCGGGTCTGTGCTGTGTGTCTGTCGGGCGCGTGCGGAGGGGGCCGCACGCGCATGGCAGACGCGTGGGGACTGCACATGCCTTGTATTTTGGGGGTTCGGTCATGTGTGGAGGAGCGTGCTTTGGGCACTCAGTCTGGAAAAAGTTAGCCATCACTGCCTTATAGCATGCCAGCTTCCTTCCTCACTCCATTTTTTAGGAGCAATCTCACACATTCTGACAACACTTGTCTTGAATTTAGTTGTCAGAATTTTAAAAATCGCTACTTTATTTTCTACAATATGGATATTACCTACATTTCCTATAATATAAATTTTTTAAAGGCCTTAATTGAATGATGTACAGGAACAGTATTTATCAAAAAGAGAAAAGTATTGCTAAATACAAAAAATATTTAAAAAGAACAGAGAACAATAATGAATATACCTTCAAAGCCTATGAATGCACACTATGTAAGTAAATGTAAATACATGTTCTATTTTATCACTGTAAAAGCAACTTACCAGACAATTCAACATAAAACATTTAAGACAAAATTTCTTTTAAAAAGAGGATTAAAAATATGGGGAAGAGACTTTTATTGACCACTTTACATATTGGAAATATACTACAAAACTACTGGAACTGGAATTGATATTGTTTATCCCTTGAATGGAAAACTAATGGAAGCTCCTAAGAATAAAATGCTAAAACAATTATTTTACTTAACTGATTGTCAAAAAGGAAAAGGAAAAAAGTCCTTATGTTTATATAGTAAAATATGACATGGTTAAATTCATTAAGACGTTTTAACATCAAAGGCACTGAACAAAAGGTCTTAAGCAAGTAAACACATTATAAAATCTCTATCTTTAAACTATTGTAATAATAGTGTAAGATAAGGTAACATTTTGAAGGTGACATTTAACTTCAACTCAGTACTGTTATGATCTAATTATACAACTAATGGAACAGAAATATCAATACTTTATTAATTTAATGGCCTACAACTCCAAGCCTCTTTTGATTTTTCCAAAAGAAAAGAAAAAACTTTCCTCCACTCAAAATAAACAGCAAAGATGCATAACATCTTCCTGCCAAGATAATATTTAATAAACAGAGGAATTTTAACTAATCAGTGCTGGTTTACCAAGCTGGTACAAAATTGCAAGGAAATACAGATAGTCCTCACCTTACAATCATTCATTTAATGACCATTCGAAGTTGCAACTGCAATGAAAAATGATTGATGAGTTTTTCACACATGAGACAGTTGCAACATCCCCATGGTCATTTGATCAAAATTTGGTTGCTTGGCAACTGGTTCATATTTATGGTTACAGTGTCCCAGGGACGTGTGATCCACCTTTTGCAACTTTCTGACAACTAAAGTCAATGGGAAAGCCAGATTCACGTAACTGTGTTACCCATTTAACAACTGCAGTGATTCATTTAACAACTGTGGCAAGTAAGGTCATAAAATGGGGCAAAAGTCACTTAATAACTGTCTTGTTTAGCAACAGAAAATTTTGCTCAATTGTGATCTTAAGTTGAGGACTACCTGCACAACCCAATTTGGTTTAGACCAGTGGTGTCAAACTCAAGGCCCGTGGGTTGAATCTGGCTCATGGGGCCAGCCTGGAAATAGAAAAGGACCAGTCCACAGTGCCTCTGGCAGGCAAAACAGGATGCAGGGGGGGCCACATGTGGATCCCCGTGCCCCATTTTCGGCCTGGACAGCCTCCAGCACTCAGCTGGCCAAAACGGGGCATGGGGGCCCACACGCTCCCCCTGCACCCCATTTTGGCCGCCAGAGTGCTGCAGGAGGCATCCGTCCCATCTCTCTCCCCACCCCCGGCCCGCAGAGAACTAGAGTGCTGATCCAGCCCTCAAAGAAATCCAGTTTGAAACCCCTGATTTAGACCAGTGTCTCTCAACCTTGCCAATTTCTTCTGTCTTGGGAATTCTAAGAATTGAAGTCCACCCACCTTCAAGCTGCCAAGCTTGACAATCACTGATTTTGACAGAGGAAAATATATACCCAAATCTGCACACATTCCCCCATTTCAAATAAAATTATAAAATTATAGGAGTAGGAAATGCTACCATCTATTAGAAAACAAATAAAACTAAATAATGTTGGCTGCTCTTCAGATTTAGGCAGATTTCGCAGGACAAGGGCAAATCAGAATCTACATAAATTTGTAACATAAAAGGAATAAACTCAAAGAGGTCAAAGTCTGCAAATGCACTGCCAAATCTATTTTACAATTTATCATTGTTAATTATATTTGTTTTCACATACAGAATAAACTTAATTCAAAGTATGAGCTATATGAACAGAGGAACCTAGGATCAGATTTGTATATTCTACAAATGTGGCATAGTAGTAGTTAGATTTTTAGCCTCTACAAAAGCAGTATTTCACCATTACTATAACTACTTTTTCTCAGCCACAAAGCTACTTATCTTTCTGAACTGGGTCCTTGACTTTCCCAGTGTACAGGATAAGTAACTAAAGATGCATTAGCAACCTTAGTTTAACCGCAGAGCTCCAAATTAAAAAAAAAACTGTCTTAACAAAAAAAAACTTGTAATGGAAGACAAGCAAGTTACTGGGATTTGAGTTAATGCTTTCTGTAATAACTTCCAACATTATGAAATAATTAATGCCCTGTTTAAACTAGTTTATGTCTATTTCTCAAAGTGAAACTAGCCTACACTGGGAATAAAAGCATTCCATTATATTTTGAAGAGTAAGAAGCTCTATTGTATTCTGAACTTCTACAATTAAATGTTTACTTTAGCTGGAGATTTGCCTATAAAAAATTAGTAAATTATTTCCCTTCATCTTTAAAGCACAGAAATATTTTTTTTTTTAAAAATAAAGCAACATTTATTCCAATATAATTATATGGCCTGCAAGAAAGATACACAATTGAAGGAGCCGAAGGAAAGAGTGGGGTGTTAAATTTTCTACTATGAAAGTCAGAAAATCATAATTTCAAGTTGAGAGTTATTAATATTTACCTCAAAAAGCAATAATAATACAGTAATAAAACTATTACTGTAAAAGCTCCATTTTCTAAATGGACACTCAGTTGGTGAATTTCATATGCAAATGCAAAATGTGAATTTGGACTTTTTCAATGTTCATATCATCTACATAATTTTGTAATCATTTCAACTATGTAAAATGTACATATACGTTTGAGTTAAAGAAACAATCCTCCCCCTTCAATTAGCTTCATGAAATTGAGATTATGTTGTATTGTAAATGTTTTCTATCATGAAAAAATGGTCTTTTGTTTTGGAGAGAAGGGAGGACAAATGCTGGGAAGGATTATGTGAAAATGAAAACATTCAAATGTTTTCTTGCTTTTTTCCTACTATCTTAACCAAACTGAAAAGTGAATTACAAAAACTGAAGAAGGGATGTTAGACATCCAAAGTTATCAATCAAAAATGTGAATGCTTTATTAAGCAGAAGGACGTATTTAAAGAGCCAGCAAATACTTACTTCTTACTTCGCTCTTCATGTCCATTGGCACTGCTCAATTTGTTCTCATCCTAAGCAGGGTTGATAGAAGAACATCATGAGGACGAAGTGGAAACATTTCAAGTGGTCAAAAGGGTAATGGGGACAGGGATAAGAAAATACAAAACAAAAATTTAATACTAAATTTTACATTCAATATGGAATGCTACTAATTAAGGTAGACTTTTTTAACCACTTTGCTGCTTACATTTAAGTCATACAACTATAAATAGAAAATTACTATTTAAAAATGATTTAAATTGTACAAACTTTCTTACAATGAAATAAAACCATCCTGCAGTTTCCAGCACTGAAGTGGTTAAATGATAAAATATAAACAAGAAATATCAAGTTTAAAAGCACATTCATATGCTATAATCCCTTTTGACCAATACCAAGGCTATATTTCTGCCTAAGCCCCAAGTGACCAAGCTAGCAGCCAGCCACTATCGATTTCCTGTGACCGATGCCATTCCTGAGATCTTCGCCCATTTTCGTTGGAGGGTTGGGACTGTAAGAGCTTGATGCCACCTCTGTCACACATCTCGCCCTGAAGCAAACAGGGATTCACACTGCTTTAGTAATGTCGACTCCCAAGTCATTCATCAAAAATCCAACCAGTCCAGCCTAAATATTTCCTATTTCCAAACCTGTTTACATGGAAAATATCCATGTTAAACTAGCATACAATATATTTAACATTACAATTTATATTCATTTCAAAATTTTACATAAGTACTAATTGCATACTAAAACATGAACA